TGGCCCCTTCAGCGAGGAGATCGCTCAAAAATATCAAAATACGGCGCTACAAATTGTCATTCTGTGCCCAGCCCTGTTGGCACTGCCACACAGTTTCCTGATGGCGCAGCTGACATCGATAATACGCGTGGAGAAGGTGCTGGCCATATTGCTGGATGTGGGCGAAGATAAGGTAAAAGAAATGCACAAGACGGCGCTGCCCAACTATTATAAATGGCGTCGCTGCGTGGTGCGGGACAACGATCAGGCGCAGATCAGTCACATTTTGGGCATAGCCACCGACATATTGGGCCGGGCGCTGTGCCAGCGTCCGCCCTGTCAGGATAGCAGCAATAGCAACAACAGCAGCATCTCGCGCAGCATGTCCAGCTGCTCGGAGGGCTTCACTGTGCTGCCCAAGAAAGTCAAGCAGGGCCAGAACAAAGTGTTGGCCATACTGTCCGAGCCGCTGAAGCCGAACGACACGCTTAAGCTGCTCGTAGAGAAATCGGGCGAGCTGCTTGAGGTACGCAATTTCAAGTGCCGCAATCCTTACACTGTCCAGTTCGCCATACCCGAATCCTGCATGGAGATCTCCACCATGATTGAAATACGCATCGAGAAGAACAACAAGAGCCTAGGCGCACGTCCCATCAAATGCGAGAGTCGCCTGCGTGAATTGGAGCAGCTGCTGCGTGTCGAGGACTCGCCCATTGAGTTCATGTGCCATGCCCTGGGCGTGGGTCCTCTGGAGCGCGATGCATTGGATCAGCATTTGCTGCAGTGCTTCCAGCGCAATATGCCTCCCAATTTTCATCTGCTCAATGGACCCAGCGAACGTCAGCCGCACTTTTTCACACGCCTCGAGTCCAGTCCCGAGGAGTATCCAACACTGTTGCACTTCGCCGCACGCTGGGGTCTCAATCGGCTCTGCCTGCAGCTCATGGAGTGCCCCGGCGGCGACACGGCCTGCGGTGTGCGCAACTGCGCTGGCCGCACGCCCGCTGAGCTGGCCGAACAGGAGGGTCACCATAAGCTGGCCCAGAATCTGATCAGTTTCTCGGAATTTCACAATCTCACAATGGTCTATCACTACTTCAAGGGCGTGGAAAATGCCAGCAGCGGCGCCAGCAGCCCGGGTGCTCAAACCAAGTCGGGTGGCAGCAAGGGCGCCCAGGTGGTCATTGGAGCGCTGCCATCGTCACCCAGAAGCAAACCACCCAAGCAGCTGCCCACGGCAGAGTATATGGAAATGTCCAGTGGCTCGGAGCGCGAGAATACGCCAGAGGTGCGCACCAAAACTGAGACAATGGCCATTTCGAATCTCAACTACATTAGCGTGGAAACCGAGGATGAGAATCTGCAGAGCTGCGCCACAGAGAAGAATCTGGAGTCCAGCAAAGTGCTGGAGCCGGCAACTGGACCCGAGCAAACCACCAACGAGCTACGCATCAATGAACCGCCTTACTATCAATCCAAAGAGCAAAACAAATCCGAGGATGTGGTGGATGGAGCTGCCAACTATCAGACCACAGATAAGTTCAGCCAGGAATGCTCACAGCTGCTGGAGAACCAGGCAATGGCCGGCAACGATTACGTGATGCAGCCCTCCAACATACCTGTGCCGCCCGTTGTGCCCGATGATGGCAACTATTTGTTCCAGCCCTCCAATCGGCCGGTGGAGGAACCGCTGCGCCTGAGTCGCTCCACAACGCGACTGCCCCAGACCAACAACAGCTATGGCACATTGAAGCGCAGCGCCAGCGACGCCTCCAGCAGCACACGGGCCAATGCCGACGACGAGCTGGCCGAGATTATGCACGATTTCAAGAACAATGTGCTGACCATACATGATGTAGAACTGCTGGTAGAGAAGTGGAAGCATCGTAATGACGTACAGCAAAGCTTCCGCGAGAAGCAGGAGCAGATCGATCAGCTGCGCCGCGAATACGAGCGTATACATGAGCATGTCAGGTCGCAGCTAAAACGCGAGACGCCCTTTGAGCGCATTAAGAAGCTCTTCTCCAGACAGAAGCCACATGCCATCGTCGAGAAGCAGAGCAGCTGTGCGGACAGTCTGCTGGACGAGACCAAAAGCTCTATTGCGACCAGCTGCAGCCTCAAGTCTTCGGCGCGTCCCATTAGCTCGCTGAGCCTGCAGAGCGTTTCCAGCTCGAGCTCCTCCTCGGGCCGCCTTAGCACGGGCAGCAACTGCAGTGGCGCCTCGCTGGGCGACTCTGGCACACATTCAGATCATGAGGAGCGTCGTCAGTTTGGCTGCCGCCTGGGCACGCCCGGTTCGCTGATGGATAACTATTTGGTGCCGCCGCCGCCGCGTCCAGTTTTTACGCCGGTCTCAACGCCAGGCGATGAACGGCATCAGATTGTGTTTCCCTCACCAATGTCCAGCTGCCAGCGCCTACACACGCCCACCAGTCCCACTGGCTCCGATCACTATCAGATGTTTCCATCGAATATACCCGTCTACTGCAATGGCAGCCAGCCGCTGTCCACATCGCAGAGCAGCAGCTATCTGAACACCATTATGGAGGCAAAGGAGCAGGATACACAGCAACAACAGCCGCAGCACTATCAAAACGGTGTCACCCTGCAGCCCATCAAGCTGAACGAGCGACCCAACATCATCTATGGCAAACTGACCAAGAGCCACTCCAGCAGCGGCTGCAGCTCATTCAAGCCCAAGCAGGTCGCCTGTCCGCAGTTGGGCAGCATCGAGGTGCAGGCTGAGGTCTATCAAAATGTGGGCAGCCCAACGGACGAGGCAACAACCCCAGAAGTTCCGGCCAAGGAACAAACCAACGAGGCGCCCAACTACATGAACTGCTAGGCCTTGTTTCGTGTATTTCTCGTAGCTGCATAGGTTTTCATATGATATATAAATCTAGCCTAAGCTTAAGTGCATATATAATTTCGATATTGCTGGAATGAGTATAAACTAGTTAAACAAACGGTTGTAATCAGCCGCAAAACATATTATAAAATATTTCTCGACAACATTTAAACTCACTAACTAAGTATATAACTTTTCTAATATATATGCAACACACATTGTATTATCTTTAGCTATCGTTCTCGATCTTTTAAATGTACATTATTTTGAAACGATTGCAAGCAACCAAAATAACATATCAGATAGTCTTAAGCCAGGTCTCGAACCAACTAATTGCATGTTTGTAATTCTAGATCTAAGTATTCCCCCCCATTTGTATTAAGCCTAGCATGCAGCTGAGCATGAAAAACACATATTTTTCGCACAAAGTTAAATGCAATAAATTGAATTCTTTAAGCAATCCAAACGACTCTCATTGCACCTCGGTACACGTACTAAGCCGGGTAGCTGTTGGGGTCACGGGTCTGTTTGGAGCAAACAGGAAATCATGCGGAAGCCCGCACTACATGCAAAAGGGGATTGCAACTGCCAACGTAAATTTCGACGGTAACAGCAACATACTAGAACAAGTAAGTTTGCCCGACTAGGAGATACCCTTGACCTAGCGCTGATGTATCTTTACGAAAACGCTTCTACTTTCCTCTCTGCGTACATGTACAAAAATATATACACACACATATACGCACGCTTGCTTCATACTTTGGATAGTGTCTTCATGAATAACTTAAATGATTATAGTCCGAACATTTTGAAGTTTTTTGGCTCTATCTTCAAATTGGAGGTACTTTCCAAAAATAAGACAAACTATGTTATAAGAAAAAATTGATTTCAAAATTCCCTAGCTTTTTTAGTAGATTGGCTTAGCTCGTCATCCTGTTCAAGAACTCTTCTATTAAAAAAAAATTTATATTTTCTGCTTTCATAGATTGAAGTCCCAAATTTCTGTAAATATTCTACACAACTTTGTTCGATTCCCAAGCGTTATATTATTTTATTCATGGATTCTATACTAATTCAGAACATAAAATTATTTATAAAATATTTATAAAATATTGATATTTATATACCTAAAATATATTATTTTTATAATCTTTAAATCTTAAATTAAACATTTTTCTATTTAAGTTAAGCTTTAATAAAAATACCTAATAAATGCTTCTGCATACAAGAATCTTTGTAGTCGAATTACACGTAAAGTCTTAGATTCAAGGGGCTGTAAACATAAAGCCAACTATTTATAACTAACACGTGACGCTCAGAAGTATGCTAACATTTTCAGAAATGCCAAATTTTAAAGGGAATACGACTACTTTTCATATATATTTTTATGTTAGCTTCTCACACATACACACGCATACTGTTACAAGCCCAGCCAAGCTTAAACAAAGCCTGTAATTCTTAATTCACATTCACACTCGCACAATTATTGCGTACGCGGCATAGTATTTTTCCCAGCTGAGTTCGCGAAGAGCTAAGCCGCCATTTTACATTTGCTGTACATGCTGCATGGATGGGAATATGGCTTCGATGCAACCAGCTCCGCCCACAATATCCGGTTCACTCGCGCCCAACGCCCACACACAGCTGTTAATGGGCTGTAGTTTTTGTCTTTAGAGTACGAGTGTGGGTGTGTGTGTCTGTGTGAATTGTTTTAACGAGCGCAAACCTCAACGAGAGTGTGTGAGCGTGAGAGGCTGTGAGAAAGGCACGCGGTAAGCGTTTATTTTTTGTTTTCAAATGAGCTTTTGCACAGCCTGTTTCAGACTAAGCATTGAATATGGAAATTAAGTTGGAAAAAAGTTGTTACAGCTGATTTGTATGTTAAATTTCACCTTGTGTCTTGCTAACCATAAACACCCTGTGCTTAGCACAATACAAAAAGCTTTCGTCCATGCCGACAGCCAAAACAAACGGCAGAGCGCAAACAACTGTGAGAGAGCGCGCGTGTGAACTGAGAGAGAGAGAGAGAGAGCAGCAGCAAAAGCGCTTGGCTCGGTGAGCAAGAAAAGCTTTTTGCATTTGGCCAGGCTAAAGCGAACAAGTGTGTATAAAAAGGACATTTCCTTCAGTCGACTCTGTTAATTAAGCGTAAATACGACGCAAAAGTGCGCCACAACACATTCTATCCATACAAAATTCACAATTCACGCCTAAACAAACATTAAGTTGCTGTTGAAAATATATGAGACAACAACTAGAACAAAACAGAAATAATTTATTTAAAAAAAAAAAAGTAAAGAAAAAGCGTGCATAGTAAAACAATTTGATAATAGAAGGACTTTGGCGCATCCTCGGTTGCCCCTGAGTGCTGCTGCACTCTCGTGTGAAAACAAAAACATAAGCACAAATCTTTTACGGCATCTCAACTGCGTAGTACCCAAAGCAAAAACAATATATAGAAGTAATTCCGCCCGGATTAAATATTTACAATTGGTTCGGCACTAATTAGACGAGGGAACTCCGTAATACCCAAAGGCAGCGAAAAGTCTACCAAGAAGCAACTGAAGCAACTGAACTGAACTGAACTGCAACAACCTGAGAGCCTGAGAAACGCTTGGAACAGCCGCCGCTCGTAAATAATTGAAGGTAGGCAACGTTGTCAGCAAACTCGTAAAATTTATGTGAGATTTTACTGAGTCCGTGACCAGGCAGTCGCATTAATTTCTCATTTTCCATTCCCCCCAATCCCCACACGCTGTCGTCCAACATTTATTTGCCTTTCAATTAAGTTGAGGCTGTGCCGCGTGTGGCTAGAGTTAAATTTGAAATGTTGCCATGCGAATATGCAACCTCTTCAAAGTTTCTACCGAGCATAGCATTTTTAATGATGCACTAAACGTTAATGGGTTGAATGGAGCAGCCTCTTTGAACTTGGTCCTCGCCCAAATGAGAGGTGTTCAAATATTGCGAGCATTTTGCAGCTTAGCTCAAGCTTAAGTTTTACAAGTATGTGCACTAAGTACACGATATTGAGTTTATCCTTAAACTCATATGCATATATAGCGTATCACTTGGATACCTGGAACATCAAATCGAATAATGTTTCTAGATTACCGCTATATATAGATGCCATGGATATTGAGCTCAATCATTCTAGCTCAAGTTTTTGGTTCTGGTTCAAAATTGGATTACAATGTTTTCGCTTTCAAATTGAATAATGCTCTTTAAGTGTTCTATTTATGGCGGCTCATTATTCAATAAAGCCGGTTTATGTTTTAGTTTATTGAATATGAAAAATTTAAGTTTCGAGCTATAACTGGTTTGGCTTAAAACTAATCTTAGTAAGGACTGTGACAAAATTCATTAAAGGGCTAGAGGAGCTCCAAAGCGGAATGAAGAACCTATTAATCGATGCATATCCCATTTATATCCTATCCATCATTTTCAGAGACTTATAGACATAAAGACTAATTTGTTTAACTTTCCACATATTCTTATTGTATATAAGTTCCACATATTATTATTAATATCTCAATTCAAACTATTTAAATTATTTTTTAATTTTAAATGTCGCTTTCTTTTCTTGATATATATATATATATATATATATATATATATATATATATATGTTAATATATTTTCCTATGCTAACTTATTTTAATTATATACATATATCTTAAAGCTTAAATTAAATAATTAATGAAGTAAATTGAAAATAATTTTAACAGCAAGCTTGACCGTTCTTTGCAGAGTATTAAAAAAATATTTTTGTTTAGTTTTGTTGAGGTTTTGTTTGTTGGTTTTGCGATACTTGTAACTACCTCAAGTGGCGCAAGAAACAAAAGCACACACACGAGCACCTAGTACGCGTGCACTCACACACACGCACACGCACGCCCACACACACACACACACACGGAAGCACACCCACACGCAGTACATATGGCATATATATTGTATAAATTCTATGCAACACAAATACAAATGCATTCATTTACAGCACAAAGCGAAGAGATGCTTTGGCCACAATGCACGCTTTTCTTTCTGTGTCAGGGGGCAAGTGCCTTAGAAGCTGCCACACAGTTGGTATTATAATTTTAATTACCACTTAAACGACTCGGTCGCCGTCCGTCAGCGAAAACGTGCTTATAGAAATGCACCAAGTCAACGCATACGCACACACACACAATTCTACATAAAAGACATGTGCCATATACTACATATATGTATATGGATATATATAAACAGCGCACAATGCGAAAATGTGCTTACAATGCGTACAATTCTATTCAGCTGCATTGTTTGGCCCCTTTCTACTTTTAGCATATTGCATTTTTCCTGAATCGAAAAAGAAATGAACGGAAAACATAACCGTGCATAGAAACTGCTTAGAGCTTGCAATATTGCGCATACGCCATGTAAGCATGTCAAAGGAATGCCGACCCATAATTGCGCATTTGCCGCTTCACTGGATTGCTAAACCACAGCCGCACCTCTGGCTTAGATATTGCCACTCATATCGATTGCGAATGGCTGTTCAAAGTGGCCTTAAACATGAAGAATGTTAAAATTTCCACAGATTACAGCTAGAACAAGGAGGTTGAGCATTCGAGCATCAGGCTAAATTATGCCTCGAGCCCATTACAAATAAATTAAAAGGGTATATTGTTTTGGTTCTTCTGTCTAACAGGTGGAAGAAAGTAATGCTGACCCGAAAGAAAGATCCTTTGGATGATTTGAGGATGAGGCACTGCTTTTTTCAATATAATTATGATTTCGGTAACATCGATAAATATCTAGTACAAAGCCAAATATATACGTTCTTGTATGAAGATCAAATTCTGTTTTAGTCTGACATCGATAAATATCGATTTTATATAACCTCAATATATATTTATATTTATTTTGTTTAGTTTTAGTTTAAAATTTTGCGACTTTCATATACAGATTAGGAATTCTTAACTTCTTGGATAACTATTCTATTGAAAACAAATTTATACAATAATTCTTAAAGCCAAAATCTTTTGATTAAGGATACACATAAAGTTGGGTGCCATGTCTAAGCACTAAGAAAAATTTGAGACTAAACACGGAAGTAATACGAAAAATAATTTTCCCTTGTAGGGAGCTGAGGGAAGCAGAATCCCAAACGCACTTACAATTACTTAAAGTTTAAAGAAATAATGCCATGAACAAGCAGGCGTACAAAAGTTTATGAAAACGTTAAGCCACAAGTAAAAGCTTTAAGTAGAGAGCACGTAAAAAAAAACTTAAAATCTTATAGAATACTTTTTAAGTAGCTTACCCAAAAACGTAGCATACTTTTCCGAGTGCACGTTGGTAATGGCCGCCGCTTGGCGCAAACTCAAAATGCAGCAAATGCTATTGCAATAATGGCAAATACGTAATGTGATCATTATAATCATGCAATTTGGACGTTGTTATAACGACCAACCGCGCCAATAGCCAATAGCCCCATGTAATTGGAGAAGCACAAACGGAAAAGGTCATAATAGTTACCAAAGTCGCTTTGATGAACATCATAAATTCGTTTTTATTGAATAATACCATGTGACATTTACAGTTGGCAGGTCGCAAACAGGACAAAACAAAAAGGAAAATACCACTACATATAGCAAAGAGAATTTCTATATAGTTGGCAGTTGGCAGGTGGGCTCAGGTGGCGCACGGGCGCATTTGGGCTGCGGGGCGTGCCAATTAAAAGTAACCATAATTGTTGTGGGCTTTTTTGTCTAATGAACTGAGAATGTCTAAGGTTTTTGAACGGACATTTGGCAAGAGCTATGCTTATGCCACGCCCCAGTATTTTGTTTTGGCCAAAACGCAACGATTTGGCAAACATATTCAGAACGTCGCGACAATGTCGTCGCCAAAGGGTTTTTCAGTCCGTTTTTTTTTTGTGTAGCCAACGAGTAAATTATTCGTTTATAGCAGGACCTCCACAAGTCGTGGCCGTTTTCCGTTTTAGTTTTGTTTTGCTGTAGCTGCGCTGTGACCGACACGTGACCCCGACACACACACATACACATACACACACGCACACAGTGCAGATTCAACTTCATGGTTGGCTGGCTTTAAATTCGTTTGCATTCAAAAGGCTTGTGCAATAATTCATCAATTTGAGTGTCCTGGCCAGTGCAAACATTAGAAACCCAATTTGCCGTCAGGCATATTAATTATGCAAGTCACTTTGCTGCGTCACACGCAACTGTTCCGCTGCCACGTTGCATGCCCCGCCGCATGCCGCGCCTAAAGCACTTGCTTCATTTTGCAATTGTTTGCGTGGGACTGGCAACAGCTGACAGCTAAATGCAATTGCTTGTTAATCTAACTTCAATAGAAGTGCCTTGAAGTATTAAAGCAAATATTCATAACTTCTAGAACTTCATGCCTAGCATAAGTTGTAGGTAGAACATTCAAATCATTTTCTTTTCATGATATGTTTTCTATAGAGATCGAAATGTAAGACGGGCCTCTGGTAAATTCCATATGTGAACAAGAAGTAAAACTTTTCTTTCCTTTCCTATTGGCGTCAAATTTACTTTCAAAAATCTTTGAGAAAATTTACTAAAGACGCGTTGCATACTTTTCAGAATATCCACACGTCCTAGACGGAAAACGGAGGTTTATACAGACAATAATTATGATAATAGAAATGAATCTTAAAAGAAACGAATTTAAAATCTTTACTCGATCAGAGTACGTCGAATAAGAAGAGGGAAAGTAAAAAAATAAATAATCCATAAATAAAACCAGAAACTTTCTACATTATAAACCAAAAGTTCTATATTGAGATTTACCCTCAACAGACATCCACTTTTAATCCAAATGCAACATGTTTTGCACATCTAACAAAGATTGGATTAGTTGGCAAAGTAAGCCCAGCAAATAAGATGCCCAACGGCAGCTAAATAAACTTTTGGAGACACTCGCAAATATATCCCAAAAGCGGTTGCATGACAGTCACGGCCAAGCCGGCGGGCCAGACACGTCTGACATTTTAAAATGCCAAAGGAACAACTAGAAACTCGAGTAAGAGTGTTTTAGTCGGGAGTGCCTGACTAGTAGATACCCTGGAGCGAGCTGTACGCTGCGCCAGGTCTTCCTCCTGCTTAGCCTGCTTAGGAAATTGATGTCTGATTAACTTTGGAGTTTATAGTCTGATTCAATATATAGAAATCGACGAGCTTAAACCGACGGACAGACATCCAGACAGGGCTAGATCAGCTCAGCTTATCTTGCGGAATAAGAATACATATACTATATAGGTTCAGGGATGCCTCCATCTGCATTTCGCATGCATTTGCACAAAGTCAATCCCCCCGCTTTTCGCATTTACAATAGATTTGGGGTATGAAAAGGATCAACCGACAAACAAACAAATCGCAGACAATTGAGTGAGTGACGTGCTGTTTGCCGAGACTGTAACTGACACAAGCGAAAACCGACATCGACTCTGGAGCAGACTTAATGCAATTAGAATTCAATACATTCGGCAGGACGACATGTAATTAAGTGTAATTTGGACGGACGGCGAGCAGTAAAACAGTTGACAGCAGGGAATATAACGATGTGAGTCATGAGACAGGTAGACAGAAAGACAGCCAAATGAATGTGCCATCAATTTGGACATATCTATAAGTATATAATACATATATATTCATGCATATAGAACCCTGCACTGCGGCCGAGAGCAATAAAGTAAATCAAAGGATTGTCGTGCTGTAAATCATATGAAAGTCCTTGACAATGTGCGCCAAAGACCGGCAGGACTGGCGTCTCGGCACCCAAGAAGCCAATGTCAGTCTGTGAGTAAATTCCATACACAACTTTCAATTATTGAATGAAACAAACACACGCAGCACACACACACACACACACACACACAAGCAGAATGCGCAGGCTGCATAAACACAAATATTTGTAGCATAACTGCGGGCGTTTCATGTAAACGCCGCATGTCGAGCGCCAATTAAGCCCCAAAAACGTAAACAATTTCTTGCATTTCCATTTCACACTAGTTACCAATGAAAATAACATGACAGCAAGAAAGCAAGCGCACTATTTACACGTGCTCGACTATGAAATATCCTGTAAATAATGTAATGTAATAATGTAACAATCAGAAGGAAGCATCTTCGATTCCAAAATGTATCTATCTATCTATGTATCAGTATCTGCCCTATCTGTCCGTCCGTCCGTCCGACCCTAAGTATGAACGCGACAATCTCAGCACCTACAAGAGCTTAAGACTTGAAATTTTAACGTAGGTTCTTCTAGTGCCCGCGCATTCCGATTTTCATTCCAATAATCGATTACTTGCCAGTTTGCGAACAATCGATAAATATCGATATTTACATTTTTAGCTATATATATACATATATGCTTTTCAAAAATATGTAAGTTTTTTAAAAAACATTTAGGATTACATTAGACCCAATCATAAGTTACTAAGGCTCCAGTCATCGCATTGAACTTAACAGAACTAAGGCAATTATTATATACAAGTTTAGTTGTATTATTAACATTTTGACCAGGATTTGAACTAAAAACTGGTTTTAAGAATGTAGAATCCAGGTTCACGAATCAAGCCTTAAGTTGAGAAATTGATTCGAGGCACAAACTAAGCCGCCAACAATCTTTTGTAATTGCTTTCCCGAATTATTTTTTCTTTTTTATTATATCATATATTAATTTATAAATACGTATATTCGAATATGTTATATTTTTAAGAAACATTTAATATTATTATAATTCCTGGTAAGATGGGACATGTATAATTATTTATACAATCCTTAAAGCTTGGCTTGAAGAACTATCAATAATTTGTTTAATAAGTGTACTTAAAAGCAAACTGTGTACAGCATATAAATTAACCCTTATGTGCTAATCAAATTCCTGATCTGCTATTTATTTTAGCTATTTATAGCCCATACACAAGTCCAAAATACTCTATAGAATTCATGTACAGGGTACAAATATATTTGCGTGCTGCGCTACGTTCGCTCGTTTCAACTAGTTGGATACTTCAGCAGTGCACCCACCCACACCCACCTCCAGCCCTCCCCCCCCTCGCTCAGCCACTGCCTTGCCCTCACACTTTGATTTCGCTTTTCACCGCAGACTTTCCCAATATATGTATATATCTGCGTGGCCTCGTCTGTGGTCTCTGCGGTGCCTTTGAGCCGAAAGTGAATGTTAGCAGTGAATGGGGCACATGCACATACATACTACATGCATTCCCATAAATATATATACACATATATTGTTGTTGGATAAAAGGTCGAGCTGCATTTATCTAGTGGCTGCGAAATTAGCATTTGGCATTTTGAATTTTTCGCTCTTTGTTGAACTTTTCTAACGTATTCTTGTTAGTTTTTTGTGCTTGTTAAGTTCTGTAAGGTCAACGGAAATGTTATCCAATTAGCGATAGTCATCGAATCGTTTTCTCGTCGATTCAGTAGCTGTCGATAAAATGCCGCATAGATTTTTAGTTCTACTTTTAAACTCTATTTGCAGACAATCCACAGAAGATGCAAGAGCCCGTTGCTTAGACTAAATGCCAAAGCAGGATTAGAAACTGTGCCAAGGATCAGATAGAACCATGTCAAATGTGGGTAAACACACATCATATACCTATTAGATTTAGTTAATGCTTAAAGACATTGCAGCCGCTGAACATGGACAAATCGAATGGCAATGGCGTGTATGCAACGAGCAGCTGCCACATGGATAATGTGGCTGCCACAACAACAGCCATGAACACGGCAAATAATATAAATATTATGAATGGCGCCGCGGCTGTTGCAGCTGCCGCAGCAGCCGCCACGCTGCCCACATCCGCCTCCAGCGAGGACCTCAGCCAGAGCCTGTCCGAGTACACGGACGCCGACGAGAGCATATCAGCACCCACAGAGTTTCTCGCCGAGGTAGGAGGAAAAAAAAATAATACAACAAATGTGATATGTATTCAAATGCAAATTGCAACGCTGAGAGCGAAATTTAATTTAAAAAATCCTTTCAAGAGGATTATTGAAAGTTGCCTTTGTGCGCCGGCTTATTGATGGCCACTAAATTGTTTTCAAGCGCATTTAACTTTTAAGCCCAGCCAACTTTTGCCGTTGTATCCAATGTGGGCCAATGGGCCGGGCCATTGTTGGCCTGATAACTTTGCATACAACTATGTATAGATGTCCACAGGGTTTGACGCAATTTGATGCTCTATTTTGTTATGCTCTATTGCAGTTTCTGTCTGCCGTCATGCTCAAGGACTACAAGAAGGCTTTGAAATACTGCAAATTGAGTGAGTATAAAGATACTGCTTAAAGAAGATACTCCAACTAGTCCTGCTACACATAAACGATTCATTTTCATTAACAGTTCTGCAATACGAACCAAACAATGCAACGGCCAAGGAGTTCTATCCACTCATATTGGACAAGCTGCGCTGTGAGTCCACATTATAGTACATCATTTGTAAGCTCGTGTTCGAGTTAATTAATCAATTATCCTGCAGTGGCCGCATCGAGCGACAGCGACGAGAACTACAATAAATCCTCATCACCCGAGCTGGCATTAGATCTGGAGGCGCCCGAGGAGCGCGAGGATAGCGTAAGCAGCCGGAGCAACAGCAGCAGTCACAACAATTGCTCCGATGAGGAGGATAATGACGATGATGATGATGATGAGGATGATGATGATGTGGATGTGGATGAGGATGAGGATGTAGATGATGAGGATGACATTGACAATGTGGATGTCGAAGAGGAGAGCAGCAGCAGCGCTGATGACTACGATTTGCCCATTGACGAGCAACAGGACCCGGCCGCTGTAGACAGCCTGGCTGCGCACACATCCCATTCGCACTCCCACAACGACTCGGGCTCATCGCGCAATTCCTCGAGCGGTGGTGGCGGTCGCAGCGACAATACCACTCACTCATATTCCAGCCTCCTGCTGGAGGAGGAGGACGACATTGTACCAGTCAATTTGCAATTTGGCAACAAGGAAACGAGCGCAACAGATTTAGATGTGAGCAATGGTAAGCGCTGCCAAAACCATCATTTCGATAGCCATACCAATAGATCATTTCAATATACATCTATGCATCTATATATATATATTTCAGGCAACAAGGTGCCATCCGCCTCGTGCAGCGATTCGGAATCACCCACAGAGCCGCTCACCCAGCGACTGGCCGCCATATTGCGCTCCAAGTGCGGCGTTTCGGCCAGTAAGGATGAGCCCTATTGAGGCGCTACGAGCATCCGCAATTTATATATGCATATACTATATATATGTGTGTGCTATATACGTAACTATATTCTTGTACTTGTACTCGTACTCAATGAGTTAAATGTTTACACTTCCTTTGCCCAAAACTAGTGCATTCGCTTTATGAACCTAGAAACCGTCCCAAACAGCATACAACAAATACTATAATATCTAATTCCAAATGCAATAACTTTAGCTGCGAACTAGTTCTTTCGTTAAAAAAAAACCCAATTCCCTAGACAAACATATCGTACAAACTTAATAAGTACTTATTGTAGTCATATTTGTATTGTGTATGTAAATGAGTATAATCTACGCTCCAATAACAATGAATATACTTATATATTATATATATTATTATTAATACATATACATATACACATATATACACATACATAGCGAATTGTGTAACAGAATCTATTTTAGTAAGACACACCCATGCAAAACGCACAGGACTTGGAATATTGTTGGATAACTTTACACGTTTAGCGTTTTATAGAGGGCGACTTTTTTCCAAACAATTTATAACATAGTATTTAATTAGGAAACGGAAAACGGTTTGGATAAGTCTGATAATATGGATGGAGGCAAATAGTACTACAACTGAAATGGTCCAAAGTCATAAACTGTATTAAACGAATACCATAAATAATTCTTGTTTTCAAATAATAATGCATAAGGCATTAAGACTCTCGTAATTTATTAAGATGTTCTTTGTTTCCGTTTTACGTAAATATATATTGCGATCTACATTTTCCAATATACATATGTACATAACCCTATAGATATGTATCTCATAATGCCCGCTCCATGAGCTTAACTAAAGGACGAAGACACAAATGCGACAAATACATATATGATTAGATACTATATAACTACGTTTATAGAAAGAGATTTGAGCAGATTGAAACCTTTGTATACCCTTAATATTTATAGCAATTTATTGGTGTTTTTAAATCGGTTCAAGTTCAACTTTATGTAATCATATTATATTCGAAATGTATTCTACGTATAACGGATTGTATCATTCAAAGTTGTAATAAAGACAGCAGGCCAACAATTTTAGCGTTTTATTTACTAAAGCATTATTTTTTCAGATTCATCATTATTTAAGAGCATAATAAAACTTGAAGTTCTCAAATTCGAGAGAGATAACTAATATAAAACTCAATTAACAACAGATTATTCCTACGACAGCTATATGATCTGATATATATATAGTAGTCAGATTGGGCAGAATCCGATATATGTATTTCAACAAATTGACGGGCCTACTTTGAGTTTCATCAAGAAACTTGAGCGGCTTGTTAGAGTATACAAACATATGAACAGACGGACCAAAAAACCTGGCTATATCCACTTAGCTCATCGCCATGATCAACAAAACTTTTGCTTACATATGTACACATTTATTAGCAATATTATAATACCCTCTAAATAGGGTAAAACAATTACAATAGGCAAATAAATATATATGCATACAAATCTCTTACCCTTTGCTGCATTGCGTTCCTTATAACTGTCTTGTTCTCTCTCTGTCTCTCTCACTCTCTTTCTCTCTGGCTGTGGTTTAACTTGAAATGCACGCCAATAGTTGTTGTTTTTGGTAAAAAGTTCGACACCAACGAAACCTATTTTACCGATTGTTATATATACCTTTTAGGCCGGCGAACGGGTGTATTGATTGATATATTGCTGTTTACAAACACAAACACAGCTGGAAATAATCGCGATTACTATATTTAATGTTATTAATTTAACATTATTAGAAATCCGATTTAATGTACACGCGCGCACACGAGACAACCGATCAAGAGCACAGACGCGCACAGACTAAATCGCCTCATTAGGAGTGCGCCTATGCTAAGCCGGCATTCGCACTAATACATAAACATATAAGAGCACACAAATTTAATCTCCTGCTCCCGCTCCCCATACCATCCACAGTGCTCGCTACGGACTTGAGCGCTTTCGGCTGGATACTTAACTCAGATAACGGGATCGAAAGTGTTCTAACCAATGGCGTGAACGCAGTGAGATTATGAGTTTCTTCTGCCGCGATTCACACTGCTCGCTCTCTGAAAGTCTCAAAACTAAATTTCTAACTAACGGTAAGATGTTGATAAGTTACATCTATATCTATATATATATATATAAATAATAGTGAAAGTACTAAGCCAGGTAAAAACATATCATTTTAAACGCTTGATAAGCATTTATTTTAAATCCATTATTATCAAAGAACTTTTTATATCAGTATACATTATTTTTTTAACAAGACTTGCAATCGAATAATGTACTGTAAGTACATTTATTTTCGTACGCTCATTTGCGATTTGATTATTATTTTGTAAAACCTTACATTGTTTGTTTTTAAAACACTTATGATGATATTTTCTTGAATGATTCGTGACAATCAATATTCTATTACGGTTATGTGAATGCCAGTTGGACTGTTTGTATAACTGTATCAAAAGAGTTGCTTTCAAATTCGATAATACAATAAGTTTTAAAATTGTATCTATGTATGTATTTCAACTATTTGAGTGCCGAAATATGTATGTATATAACTTGCATGCCTATCCATAGCCATCTGATATGTAACAAACTACTGTGATGAACAATAAATTGTTTTGATTGCATTCTCGATTTGAATACTGTTTGCATTTGCTTTCAATAATACTTATGTGATCCAACCACTTGAAAATTATTGTTTCTATGTATTTTCAGCACCATTTAAATAAATGTAGAAGGAAAAAAAAATGCGAAAAATTAAAGCATAACAAAATTATTTCTATTATCATGTTGCATATTAAATTATGTAAGTTGCTCAGAATAAAATCAGGTAATGAAGCTTTGTTTGTATCGTAAATTGCACGTACTTGTTTCGGTTTTTGTTTTTTCTTACTTTCAGATTATTCAAATAGCTAAAGTATACAGTATGTATGCATATGTTTGATTTATATAATGCAGCATTGAATCAAAGTTTCAGTGCTAAGCAAACTATAAAGAAACTATGTTTTTTTTAGTTAATTTATGTGTGAATGTGTCTCGAATATTTGCATAAATTTCTTAAGCCTACATATACATATATTTGTTATCGTACACAAACAAAATTACAATTTTAAATATGTTTTGATTTCTCAACTTTTCGATTCATTATTATTCATTTTATCCATTTTTGTGAACTGTTAATCCAATTATATCGTAGATATATATGCTTACCAGTAAATCTGATAATGTCCCAGACATGCAATATGTACACGGTTTGTGTGGATTTAACAACATATAACATACCTAACGTTAGTATGTCTTTCATTTGAATTAACCCTAAATGCTGCAGCTTTACGAGTCAAGTGTGCTTTGGAAGTCTGCTAAGTCTGCGTGATTTTTCGTAGGGTATATCGTATATGCGCTTAGTTATAATATTCATTAAAAAGAAACTTTCATTTGAAAACTTCAGGTGTTTCTTGTACTGTTCAGTAGAAATACATATGAATAAACGTATGCAAGTGTGTGTGTGTGTGTGTGTGTGTGTTTGTATAACATGTTTGTATTTACTAGTGCGTTTAGGGTCATACGAGTACATTGGCACTACATCAATAAAACAGAAAGCAAATTAATGAAAATAAAAAGATACATTTCATGTTGACTCTTATAAAAAAATATGTGTAAAGTATTTATTTAAAATACAACATTAAAGCACAATCAAATAAAATGTACCAAAAATAAACGATATGTGTACAGAATTAAAATTATAACTTTAAGCTTAAGTGTTAGGTTTTTAAACGTTTTGTCTAGGCTTAAATGAAAAGCAAAGCAACCACAATGGCTGGGCTTGGCAAAGAATTCAACAGCTTACAGGTTTATAAGAAAATTAAAATTCTGGGCAATAATTAGACAAACTAAAAACAAAAACAATTATATTTACGTATGTGTATATAGGTATCAGTCGATGAAGTCAATGTGAGATGAGCTACAAACGTAATGCATGCAACGTGCGTCTAGAGAATTTTGCATTTTCAAAATTGCCCAGTCCGAAGATACATTTTAAAAATTCCAAATAATCTCTAGGGTAGCCCACCAGTAACGCGTTTTGTTCTGTTTAACTTAAACTAAGCTAATGTCTAAGTGGGGCGGGCGGGCGCCGGGTGTTTGTGTGTATCTATGTATAAATGGCAGCTCGCTCAAGTGTATGTGTACATAAAAGCTGCCTATGCACAATACTTATGCAAAACTAAATTGTTGAATATAAAAATTAAAAATGAAGACGCGAGACGTTCGGGGTTTTCGAATCACAGCCTACGGACGTTGGCTGTGATTTAGTACCGCTTCTATAAGCAATTCGTTGTCTCCTTTGCATCCTCAATGTTGGTGTGGTTCTTGATGAGCAACTGTGTGGTCGGATATTTGTTGAGTTGTGCAAAGCGCTCCATCACACACGAGGAGCTGAGACGTGCCTCGGCATCGTGATCCCAACACTCCTCCATGGTGTCGCAAAATATGCTGAGGCCCTGCAAATCCGAAAAAAAATGGGTTTAAATGTACAAATTATTCATGAAATATATCAATATGTTATCTTACCAAATGGGCACGCCAGGTGCTGAGCAAATGTGGACGCAATTTCTTCATCACGACACTTTCCTGCACTTCATCAAGTGTGGGACGCTGCCCGAGTTCCGCCTCGAAAGGCAGCTGATACTCGCCGACGGGCCCGACGACATCGCAGCGCGAGACCATCTCCCACAATACCAGTCCACAAGCATAGACATCGATGCGCAAAAAGGCATCGCGATTGAAATTAATTGCACCCTCGAGCACCTCGGGCGCCATATAGCGACGCGTGCCCACCTGGCCATGCGTATCGCCGCACGGCTTGCCCGGCTGAAAGATCATGGCCAGCCCAAAGTCAGCTATGCAGGCTGTCAGATCGGCCTTAAGAAGCACATTCTTCGATTTAAAGTCGCGATGCGCTATGGATGGTTTCAAGCCATCCGTTTTGCTGCCCAGTATCTCCTCGTGTAAATGCGCCAGCCCACATGCCATGGACTCGGCAATGCGGCACAATTCGACCCAAGTAATCGTATGGGACTTTAGATAGTCGCAAAGAGAACCATTATGCTGATATGTGGATATTAGCCAATACTCGGGCTTATCCAAGTGCTTCTCCACGCCCAGAAACTCTAAAATGTTTGGATGCCGCATGCGAGGCAGCTTATAAATCTCATTCTCTGTTGTCCAGGAATCCTTCTCCTGCATGCGAAAGATTTTCACCGCCACATCCTGACCATGCAGCTTGGCCTGCCAGACATCGCCAAATCGGCCGCTTGCCTTCTGCTCCAGCAATTGTATGGGACGGTTGCTGAGCAGCGGTGACGCATTTGTGATTTCTGCCTCGTGCTTCAATTAAAATATGGAGTTAACTAAATGATTACAGCAAAACTTAGCTAAACAGCCGTGCCTTACCTTGGGTATCTCATTGAAGTGGACCTGCTTGAGGCGTCGATAAAATGCGTAAACAAATATGGGTAAGACGACCAGGATGGCAAATGCCGAAGAGCAAATAATATAAAAGGTCATATTATTGTTGTCCTGTGTCTTCTCCTTGGGCACTGCAAAAATATATTAAAATCAATATACAATTAGGATTGTTTTTGTTTGACAAATCTTATTTAATTCACATCTACTGCAAACTGCCTTGTTTCGCCTTTTGCTTGTGTATAAGCCTGCGTACATATACATATATTTATGTATATATATTAATGCAATGGGGTGCTCTTTAAATGCTTGCCACAGGTGAACAACATCTCAAGTGGCACCTGTAGTTGGCACAGGCTTGACTGTCAGGCCCACAAGCACAAAACGAAAAACGAAAAAACGAAAGTTCGCCCCCAATTTGGCATCTCTTTATGCTTGTCGTATATAACATTTTTTTATGCTCAGATAAAAGGGAGCTAGGCATAAAAAAAAAAGAGAAAACAAAAACAAAACAACAAAGTGCAAGGCACAAAAGATACATGCCTAAGCAAATGGAAGGCCACCCGCCCAATACAAAAACATACAAAAAACGGCAACAAGAACGTGTGCAGAGGGCGCAAGAAAATCTGAGGCGGGGAGCTGGGAAATTGCAACACACGCAGCAGCTAGTGAGGCAGGCTGCTGAGAGGCAACTCCGCAGCACACGGAGAGTTCGTTAACACGAAACAGCGTTGCAAGGGTCGCGTTCTTTTGGGGCTGTGGTGGCCTGGCCACCCCCGCATTTAAAAGTCGCAATCAAAACATGGCAGCGTATAGAATAACACGAATTGGGGTAAACATAGAAAAACGCAACAAATAAAATATGTTTGAGATAAAATTGAAATCAGTCGCACCTTGTGTTGTTGCCTCCGTGGTGGGCGCTATCCATTTGTACTGCGTGTTGCACATCGAGCCCTTGCAACAGCAGAAATGTATGTTACCCTGTCGCGGCTGGGTGCTGGTAATGCACGCGGTCTGATTGCACTCATGCATGTCCGTGAAACAGCCCTTCATTTTGATTTTCTCGGTGCCTGCAGCAAATCAAAATAAATAAACAACAAAAATATAAAACAAAATTGTTGCAACTTGTTGGGACAAGTGTTGCGAGAGGCACATACCCGTCACATCGTCGGCGCTCCACAAGACGTAGCAGCTGGGAAATTTGTCTGCCTCCACTTGGCAGCGCTCGATGGTGATGCCGCAATCATTGGACGTATTGCAATCCTTTTCGTCATAGTGCTCGCAGTTAATGTTGTGCCCCTCGGGCAGGATGGCGCCACTGGCCAGTAGCAGCATGTGGCAGCCTGTCAAAAAAGAGCGAGACGACACAAGTCAACGATATATATTAAAATGGTTTGCAGTCTAGAGTTCTAGTAAATAAGTTGGTAAAATGGGCGCAAGCCGTTGCCTTTGTAAACATATCACGTATCTACGACCTGTGGACCAACGACCCCAATTCCAATCCAAGCCCCAACGGGCCAACGCTTTGCTGAAGCGGGGGAATCCTCAATGAGCGTTGCCATTGAAAGCCACAAGCAAAACTTTCCACAGAACACAGCAAACGCTACGCAACCCCAATTCGTGCAGAGGGCCATACAAAATTAGCTCCGCTGGCCACCAGAGCCTTTGAGTAGGCCCTTTAACCCCATTGCAACTGCAGCTGCAACTGCTGCTCCGTGTCTGTCGCTGTGTTGGGACTAAATGTATGCATGTATCTGAGGGCAATTCGCGCGCAAATCCACGTGTGAGTGGATACCATAGCGGCACAGTGGTTCGCATGTCATTGTTTGTGTACAACTTTTTAGCAAATAAAATCTAAAATCTGTATTATGTTGTTTCATACTAACTTATAGAATTTGCTATTTTGTTGAAATCTATTTTGTAGTTAAATCTATATTTGCGATCTAATTCGTATTTCTTCTGCTCCACATGGTATTGAACAGTTCCATTTTTTAAGTTTTCAGAACCAGAAATTATAAAAGTTCTTCAAAATACAAGTTTTACTAAATATTACTGGACAATTCTCTTGCCTTATTTCCGAACAATAACAATTTACATAATATAACAATCAATAAAAATGATCTTTAAAGCATATAGTATTTTTTAGTATTTTTTTTACTGGTAACATAAATTTACCAAAGAATATTTAACAGCAGTATACTATATATATATATATATATATATATATATATATATATATATATATATATATATATACGGCAAAACCTTCAGTTTCAGCATATTCATTATCATACGCCAATTAGCATCAATTAAACATGCTCAGCCCCACTGTGCGAGGGTAATCGGATCTGTATGTGCATATGTAAGTATGCATGCGAGCGTGCGAGCATGCTTTATAGTAAAGTAGATACATAAGCATGCACATTATGCAGATTGAAAGGGGATGAGTTTAAAGTGGCGCTTGTTGAAAATAAAGAAACAACAGCGGGAGAGAGACAGAGAGAGAGAGAGAGAGAGAGAGAGAGAGAGAGAGAGAACGGACTAAAGCCAGAGAATAAGGCTACAGATTTTCACCCACGCGAACGCGCAAACAACAAGTTTCTAATGCAACGTCATCCATTCAAAGAAATCATTGCATGCAGCTCACACACATACACACACACACACACATGTGTTGCTGAAAACAACAGAAAAGCGCACTAAGAACAACTACAAAGCACGCGCCAAGCTATTCAATCAGGCGTAACAACAGGGGGCAAGCGTATCGGGGAAACTGTAAATAATATCGACAGCAAGCCGTAACGTACAAACGAGAAGAAGAAGAAAAACATACACACAAATACTAAATATATACAGACGCACAAACACATACGCAAACTATGCTCAATACATACCTAGAATAAGCTGTCCCACCAGATAAAACTTGTATTCGTATTTGGACATTGTTATTGCGTTATCGCTGTAACTTGTTTACAACACAAAATGTATACGTAACTAGACACACGCGCGGTGGTTGGAGAATTTCTGTTTTTATTTTGGCACATATAAATTTTCCTTTGGGGAAATTGCGTTTCTACATTTATTTGATTTGGCCAAGTTTTAGGTTGTAAACAATGACTGCTTTCGCTGCACTTTTTAATCCTAGAATTTAATATTTCATATTATGTATACATATGCAGCGGTGTGTGTGTGTGTGTGTGTGTGTTATGTGAGTATGTAATTTATTTTCCGCTGCTGCAGTCGCAGCAAAGTTGCTGACCACACGTTTTTTCCATGTGCATTTTCACGTTTTCAATGGGTGTTATCTTTAATGTGGCTATCACATTTCTTTTGTGGCACTTTAAATGCGTTTCTATGCTGCATTTTATGCTTTTAATAAATTATTTTTAAGCGAATTATCTTTTGCACGCAGTTTCTACACGCAACTACGATGGTCACAATTGGTACAAATGTACCAAAACCAAGCGTATTTACCAACACACATGCTTTTTATTGACAGCCCTGGTTGCACTAAGGGTACAAATGTATGAAACTTATACGGTTTACCAGCACTGTTTTAAAGTGGCGCCCGTGCTCGGAATTGTGCGGCGTTAGGTATATTCGACTAGACGAAATCGATACATATTATAATTTGAATGGTCACACTTGGAGAAAATCAAAAATCCGTTTCTCTTTAAATGTAAATACTTATTATTCCGATTTGCGAAGAAAACAAATTTAATGCAGCCAGAAAAAGTTAGACTTGAAATCGCCTGGTTTTACTGTACTTCTCATCTAATGTATGCAAATAAAAACCCCAATGTGTTTTCTCAGAAAGTCAAATGACTTCATCATGCGGTAAAACGCGTCGACTGACACGTTCTGCGATAGTTTATCTTAACAATGCACTGATTAGATGTCAGCGCATTGCATGCAAATAATAATACAAATACAATATTAACTTACAAATTTTATATACAACAATGAATAATTTCCTCTAACCAGGATCACTTAGTGCCATCCAGCTTGGTCAGACCGTCGGCATACTGAAACTCTGGGCTGTTCTCGTACTCGCACATGTCCAGGGCAATGACGCAGCTCTCCTTGACAACACGTTTATCATCATCCGCATAACGGTTCAATATCTGTATGCACTCCTCGGTGGCAATAGCGCCCAGTGCTTCGGCACACTCGTGACGCACCATTTCGTTCTCGAGGCGATCTTCCAGGTTCTCCTGCAGATACGGTATGCTGCATGGTTCCTGTAGCTGACCCAGGACAAAAGCAACCTCGTGCCGGAACAACGCCGACTTATCCTTGAGTCCCTCGGCCAGGGCCAGAACGCTCGCCTCGGTGCGCAGATTACGCAAACTAAACATGGCGCGATAACGATCGAACAGACTCTGTTTGGCATCCAAATATATGGCCTTTAGCTCATCCACGCTCTTTGTGCCTGCAGTTGGCGGAGATGGGTCCACAGATGCGTATGGATTATTATCGTCCACCTGTTGACCGGTCTGTAGCCAGCGCACACGATCCAGCGCTATGGCGCAAGTCTCGGCAACTTCAATAACTGAATCCTCCTTGTATTTCTCGAGTATTGGCAAAACCTCAGGATGGCCAATGGCGCCCAATGCTTCGGCAGCCTCATGGCGCACCATGGGCTCTTGGGTGGTGTCCTGCAGCACTTTGCTGAGTATTTGCACGGCCTGAGTGTCCTGCATCTGTCCCAAACAGTAGGCCAATTCGTGTTTTAGCAGCGCGGAATCATCATCAAATGCTTTGCTGATTGCCTCAATTGCTGCCCCGCCGCCGATGTTTTTCAATGTGAACAGTGCACGGAACCGCTCCTTAAGCGGGCGTTCCTTATTGTTCAGCACACCGCCAATGGCTTTGATCTGTTCCTGCGATACCATTTCTGCTTTGCTCCAATAAATAAAAGTAAATAACGAGCAGCCTGCCTCGTGGAAATTTATCAAGTGTCATATATAATTTATCGAAACTATTTGCCAACCACCACAGCGAAAGTAACGTAATTTTCAACACTGGCTAAAAAGGCCGCCATAAAAAGTGCCTGTGCAACACTTACATTTAAGAAGAAGCAAATAGTCCAGTTGTTGGGTTACGTTTATCTTTGCCTTGTAAAGAAAACGTCAAAAAAGTGCGAAATACAGCGAATTTTCTGGCGAAAATTGTTGAAACCCTAATTTCAATATATACCGGTGCTACAGTCGATTAGTAAAATAGTTGGTCTTTGTGCGAACTAAGTAAAAATTGCATTTAAAAAATTTGCGCGTTCACGGTTCGTTCAGCGTGGCGTGTGTATGTATATATGTGTGCGTAATATACCTGCTAGTTGGTTTGATTCGCTGTCTCAGTGCGCAAGGAGAGCAAGAGAGAACTCGCTACTTCGAAGCGAAGCATTGCAACTGAACGAAAACATTGCAAAATACAAATAATTGTATTTTGTAAGCAATATTAATATCAATACCGATATCAAAATGTCTGACGAGACCAGCATACAGAAACCGGAAGCAGAGGCCGTTGCAGAGGCGAAGGCCAACAACGATGAAGATGCATCAATTCAACCGGCGGCAGATGAGAAGAAGACACCCGTAAGTGTTTAGAAATATGTGTGAACGTACATACATATAAGTTTGCATATATATATTTATATACAGTATGTCAATAAAGTGTTTTTACTAACGAAAAAAAACTAATTTTTTGGGTTTAGTTGAAAATAAATGTACCTAAAAGTGAGAATTTTTTTTCAATTATAATTTATTTCGATTCTATATTTTTCCTAGAACTTAATGGCAAAAAGAATTGTTAAATAACATTACCCAAACATTTTATAAAATTAAAAAACTAAAAACATTCAAATTTTATGCTGTCAATAAAGTGTTTTTACACGAAACTTTATTACTAAATAACAATGTTAAAAAAACAGGAATATTTTTTTTTAATACTTTGTGTGGCTGCCATTAGCGTCACATACTGCCTGCAATCGCCGTTTCATTGAAACAATAAGGTTTTGTATGTATGTTTCTGGAATCTTCTGCCATTCTTCCAGTACAGCAGCTTTTAAATCAGTTTTTGATTTTGGACTCCGCTTTGCGAATTTTTTTTTCAAATATGACCACACATTTTCTATTGGATTCATATCTGGACTTTGTGGTGGAGTGTCTAACACCTTTCCACAGTTGTACAACAGCCAAACTCTTACCATATGAGCTTTATGCTTCGGGTCATTGTCCTGGTAAAATTTAAAAATTGGCTTATTGCCCTCATAGAATCCAAATTTCTGTGCACTACTGACGAGATGTGTCTGTAAAATGCTCAGATATTGTCTAGCATCCATGGTATTCTCAATGAAGGTCAAATCTCCTACACCCTTGCTCGAAATACACCCCCACACCATCACTGATAGTTTTCCGAATTTAACGGTTGGAATAATATTGCGGTTTTCCAACGCTGTTAGAGGCTTTCTCCATACTCTGGATGGCCCATCGTTGTAGAATAGCATCATCTTGCTTTCGTCACAGAATATGACGTTACTCCAAAAATCGTTCGAACTATTTACATGGACTTGAGCGAACGATAGCCGCTTCAAAATATTCGCCGCCGATAGTAGAGGTTTTTTCCTGGCAACTCGTGATGTGTAGTCATTGGAATTCAGTAATTTTCGGACAGTTTCATGTGACACATCAACACCACTTTCTTCCTTGACCTCCTGAGCAATATCCCTAAGCGAAATTTGTGGATTTTTCTCAATTTTTCTCAGAATTTTTCGCTTATCTCTGTCAGAAATTTTGCAGGGTCGACCACATACTGGCTTTGCCTCTAGCCTATCTTCCTTATTGGCTCTGTTTAATATGTTGTATATCGTTGCTTTTGATAAATTAAACATATCAGCCAGTTCCGAGACTTGACGTCCCATCTGATGGTTATAATACACCAGCTGAGCGACTTCAAAAGTTGTTCTTTTTCCTGGCATTTTATTTTTCATAAAATTAAAGCAAAACGTTATAAATTGCAATAGAAAATGACAAGAAAAGTCGAAGACACAAGAGAAGCCAAAACGCATGGGCCCAAATCTAACGGGATCACCCAAAAGAGAACGGCAAAACAATTTACCGTAGCTGTAAAAACACTTTATTGACAGCATAAAATGTGAATGTTTTTAGTTTTTTAATTTTATAAAATGTTTGGGTAATGTTATTTAACAATTCTTTTTGCCATTAAGTTCTAGGAAAAATATAGAATCGAAATAAATTATAATTGAAAAAAAATTCTCACTTTTAGGTACATTTATTTTCAACTAAACCCAAAAAATTAGTTTTTTTTTGTTAGTAAAAACACTTTATTGACATACTGTATGTATAGGGACGGTCACAATTAACACCGGGGGTCGTGCGATAAGAGCGCACTTTACAACTAACACACTCGCACTGTGACGAACAGAATTATCTGGAAGAGCGTGCGCATTATAAATGTATGTAGATGTTTGGGCTAACGCAGTATTATTTCAGAATTATCGAAATAAGCCACACTCGCGCACACGTATTTAAATGTGTAACTTATTTGATATCGGTTTTTCTGCAATTTTCGTGTTGATGTTAATTATGTTGCCCTCGTGTGCGCGCGCTTTTCCCAACATCCCCCGTATGTGTGTGTATACGTACATATAGTGCGTGTTTGTGTGTGTGCGTGTGTATTTATTTTTATATGTCGCGTGGTACACTCGCTGCAAGCAATCGGTAGTCTCTTTTGTGCACGTTTTGCCGCTGCGCGCGCGTCTCTCGTTCTCGTTTGTTTTTATTTTTCTTGTTCTCTTTTTGACTTTTTGTTGTTTGCTGTACTTTGTCATACATGGATGTATGTATGTATGTATGTATCTAAATGTGTGTGCACAGAAGCATTAATACGTTGCGCTTCAGAACGGGCATTTATTTACCGTTAAATAGGAATTAGGCGGGTTGAATAGCCGGGTTAACGATTTGTTTCACTTGAAGTCAGTCGAAATCTCTTCCTGCGAAATATCGTGAAATGTTTTGATGTGTATGTAAACAATCATTATAGAAACGCACGCCCAAGCGTCGCTCCTTCATTGAGCGGGCTCAGCGCGAGAGTGAAGAGCTGGTGCGGACAATGGGTGGCAGCTTGGAGCTGGAAGGCGGACGACGCACTCGATCCAGTACTCGTGGTACACCAACGCGAGTCGCCGAAACCGTAACGCCGCCACCGAGCAAAAAAGCGCGCACATCACCAGCGACAACTAAGAGCGGCGGACGGGGACGCGGAGCACGCAAATTGGATATAGGCGGCGGTGAGGAAGTTGATCAAGAGACAGCTAAATCCAAGCCAGCCGCAGCGGACGAGCAGGAAGAGCCGGTGCAGGCAAGCGAAGCTGTTAAGCCAAATGTAAGTTAATTAATTTCTTACAATTAAACATAATTTATCTTATATCATAAATTCAAGGTTGCTGCAAAGAAAGGAAAGAAAGAAGAAAAGGTTCAAAAGGCTAAGGAAGCTGATGTAAAGGAAAAGGTAGATACCAAGAGCAAAGACGATTCTGAAACCAAGGACACGGAATCGAAAGTGACTGCGTCCCAAGCCACAGAATCAACGGATCAGCCAGACTCTGCTGCCCAGGTGCCTGCAGCGCAAGAAAAAAAACAAAACAATGTTGTTCACGATAAATCAAATACAAAGGAGCCCGAAGTGAAGGAGAAAACGCCTGAGCCATTGGCAAAGCTCGAGGAACCAGCTAAAGTTGAAAGCCCACGGAAAAGTGATGCTGCTGCCCCAGATTCTGCCTCAGCCATGGAAGTGGATGACGAAGAAAAACAGCAGCCAATCACAGAACAGCCTGCCGCAGATACCACATCTTCCGATACTTCTGCACCTGCTGTTATTACAGAAACTATTGACGGAAAGAATGAATCAAAAGTAGCCCAGGAAAAGGTGAGCAGTGAGGAACCGAAAGTTGAATCCTCTGAACCCGTCAAGCAGCAGACACCGGAACCCATGGAGGTAGATTCGAGTTCGAAAGCTAACACCGAAACCACCAAGACCGTATCACCCGTTAAAGAGGTTGTGCCAGTAGCAGCTGCCGCCGCAGCCGTCGAGTCTGAATCAGTTCAGACGACAATAAGTAATAACGAAGTCGTTGAATCGGCTATCGAAGTTAAAGAGGATGCACCAGCCGTACCGGAGAAGGAGGCAAATGCTAGCGAAGTCGAAAGCACATCAGCAGAGAACAGTACAACCAAAGCTGATGAAGCACCTGCCAACAATGATGTAAGCAAACTGTCTGCGCCGGTTGCCCAAGCCGATACGGTGGTAACGGAGACGCCACCAGCAGCCGTTAAGGAGCCGCAGGCCAACTGCGAAAACAAGTCCGAGCACAATGACAATGGTATGTCGATATATTTGTTTTAGAAATCTAAAACCTTATAATAAAACTAAACAACTTGTTGCAGGCGAACCGAAGATCGTTAACAATGCCACCGATGATGGGGAAAACCATGTAACGCCGCAGGCTTGCAATTAAGCAGAAGCAATATTATAATAATGATGATGATAATGAAAACCAATAACTATAGCTCGTGCCGAAAGTGTACAAGTGTAACTTCGAATCGATTCGACAAGTTGCCGCCAACAAATAAGCAAATAACAAGAGTTTTATCCAAAACAGGCGCGCATAGGTTTAATTCTGTTTCCATTGTCAAGTTTTCTTTTTATTCTCAAACCACAAAATGGTACGATTGCAATTCACTAACCATCTTCCAGTCTTTGGCTTAATTATTTTATGTCTTAGGCTGTAATCGATGCTGGATTTTAAATGCTGATCTGTGTGCGCAATATATAGTAACAAACACATACAGCAAATAGAAACTAACACGTAGATCTAACCCGCCAACACACACCCAGCCCCACACACACCCAGCCCCACACACACCCAGCCCCACACACACGCACACATTGTTAAAAGCATCCAACTATAAATAATATGTATGTGTACATTTAATTAAATTGGAAACAAAACAAATACATTATTGAGAAATGTATGTAAAATAGATGTTTTTAAATTATAAGACATAATCTTTAATGCAAATCTAATTTTAAAACCGATTTGGACAACACTCAAAACCCAAGAAAAGATTTTTAAACAACTGATGCGTCGTTCAAGAATTTAAGTACATAAGCATTAAAAACTTTACCAATGCCATTCACACTTACCTGGCTATTCACAATACATATTACGTATATATCTCTACTTATTATTTTTTTTTGTTTAATTTCTATATAATTTTCGTATTTTGAAAAGCGCTCACATAAAGCATTTAGTTTTTAACGTTTTGTCATTATGTAATTTAAACGGATAAACCTATATCAGATAACGCATCAATTGTATTCCGCATAGAATTTGTGAAGTGAAAACAAAAGTCTTTTCCACAATCTTAACTAAATTACGACAAGTACTGTAAAATTTTTCAATGAAAAATGCTATACATAAACAAAAAAAAAAAAAAAACAAAAAACAAAACAAAAAAAAAACCGACACAAGAGCGTAAAAATACTTTGGAACTCTTTTTGTAACTGAAACAATCAGCCGAGGCCGTTTTTGTATGTAGCTGGATACTTTCTGTGTAAGAAATTCTTCATTTAAATATTCTTTTGTAAATAAATCTTTTAAAAATACAAAAGAGAGATAACATTGTGTATTAACTAAAAATAGTTGTAAGTACAAGTTTGGCTAAACCTATGCCGCACCATTTTCCTGCACAGCTTTTGTCAATGGTTCCTTTAATGGCAGCTCCTCTAGCTCCAGCACCGGATCGGGCACACTTAACATGTTGCGCACAAATGGCGAATACAATTTTGGACTTTGTTTCTCGTTTCTGTCCGGGCGCCACACATAGCTCATGGGCACTGCCCACACGAATATCAGAATAGCGCCCAATACCTTATACCAATAGAAAGATATATCATAAACTGAAAACTCCCGATTGCTGCCGAAAGCGGTTGTCACATTGGTTGGCACAGCGGCAGCTGTTGTTGTTGCTGTAGCTGTACGATTTCTGCAAATTAATAGACATATTTATAATCGTAAATAATATATATACATCAAGCACTTTTATATATCTCTCTATATATATATATATTGTCTATAGCACTTACATTGCATTAAAAATCGTGTCTAGGCCACGCGCCTCACACTGATCCAAGGTATTTGGCAATACCTCATATTTAATAAGGCCCGCCTTGATGTTCATCTGCGCATTGATGATGACCCACAGCATGGCAAGCACACTGAACAAAATGCTGGTCATTGCCACCTTCCCATTGACACGGGGCACAAACATGCCCAACAGAAAGATACCCACAACGGCGCCCGTATTGATGCCCGTAATCGTCCACATGGTCTGCAATATTGAGTTGAAACGCTGCACAATGAACCCGCCCACAATACAGTAGCCGCCCATGGCAATGATGACCAGTTTCATGAATCCATTGGCCCGTGCCTCCGTATGCCGGATATGGGGCTTGATATAGTCAAAGTAAACAACGCCGGCGAACGAGTTAAGATTAGCCGAAAGTGAACTCAGGGAAGCACTGAACACACACGAGATGAACAGTCCCGGCATGCCGGGCAGATTACCCATTATGTCCTGTATAAAGAAGGGCATCATTTTGTCCGGCTTGCTGACCAGCTGTGGGCGAAAAGACAAAAGTTGAGTTCGTATAAATCCGGAAGTACGGAGTACTTACGCCTGCCAGCATGGGATCACAGCCGTAATAGTGTGCAAACATTATGATGCCAGCAAAAGAGGTAAAGAACATGATAATCAGAAAACCAAAGCCCGCAACAACAAGAGATCTGTGGGACAATGTTATGAATATATATGTATGTTGGAAGAGTTCGTAACGCTCGGCTTACTTTTTGGCATGCGCATACGAAGGCAAGGAGACAATGCGCTGCACACAGCTCTGATCAAGTCCAATTTTGCCCGTCCAAAGTAGTAGGCCGCTGGTCATGCTGTTCCAGAAAGTGGCGCGTATTCTTGGATCCAGTCTAAAGCTATAGGACATAAAAGTTGTTGATGGCATTAAAGCACTTCTCGAACCAGTTGGGACTTACTCAAAGTTGAAACGACCGCCTTCCGACGCATACTCGAGCACAGTACCCAATCCTCCTGTACGCATAGTGCCCAGCACGCCCACCATTATCACAGAGAGCAGCATAACGCCAGCCTGAACAACGTCCGTCCAGACGACCGCCTTAATGCCGCCCAACATGGTATAGAAAACACAGATCGATGAGACTACGGTATTGATTAGGTGGATATTTATGCCGGTCACTGTAAATGACAGTAAATACTGGTTAAAATATATGTGTTTAAGTGAGTGTAGCTCGGATTTGCAAAAAGATTCTTAAACGTGTAAAAATTAAATTTTTCACGATTTCCACTCTGCGAAGTGGAATTTCCGAAAGTGATGAATTACTCTAAGGTTTTGCAAAGATATTTAAAAATACATTTGCACAAAATTTTCACATTATCTTTAACTTCTTTGTGGAGCTATGAAATTAAGTTAAAATACGATCAGCCAGAAATTGAAATTTGAACTATTTAACTATTGATCTACATTTTCCACCGTGGGTTATGGATTTTGAACACTACTTTGAATATTAAATACGACTAAATAAAAATGTTGAAGCAGATGGGGGATTATAAAAAAAAGTTGTATGCAATAGTTTCACACGCATATTCCGCACTCTTAGGTGAACTCATGCAAAGTCGGCGAAACATTTCAATGGTAAATTTTAAAATATGTACATACCTTGAGAGAATGCCAGTGAGGGTATAAACATATAAACAGGCAGCATTAGGAATTGATTCAAAACAAAAGTCAGCGTCACGAATTGACGAGTGCGTTTATTAAATCGCATCTCCAGATACTGTGCGTAAATAAAAATATAAATAATAGTAAACAAACAGTTAACGACTATTTACACCAACCTCATAACAATTGACGACATTGTTGTCATAGAAGACGGGCACAATTATATATATCAGTATGGGAACAGTTGGTATCATGGCTAGCACCGCGAATATGAAGTTAAAGCCATACGTATAATTCTCAGTGGGAATGGACATGATGGCAACACCTGACAGTTGACTGAAATGGAAAACAATTTCTTCTATAATAAAAATATTTCATACATATATATCAATAATCCAAAAGGGGGCGCGAGCGCATAAAATAATAACATTTATCTTAAGCTTGTTAAAAATAAACTTAGAACCAGATGTAATCTGCATTTACAAAACCGTCATACAGATAAGTTCAGATAACGCCTGAAAGGCAACTGTTGGCATTGACTTTTGTGAATGATGAAACCGGCTAAAACCGATTGCCACTAAGGCACACTGGATTTACGCACCTGGAGACCAAAGATATGGCTATGGGCAGCGCTTGCATCTTCTTGCCGCCACGCAGATATTCCTCTGTGGTGTTCTTTGCCTTGGAGAAGAATCCAAAGTACACGCCAATGGACGCGGACACACTCAACATAAGTATAAACACCGTATAGTCGGTCGAACCGAAACTTAAGTCCTCCACCTGTGCTGTGGCGGCAGCTGCTGTGCTGGCCAGTGTAGTTATTGGCCCCGACATGCTGAGGCTCCTAGAATCCTTGACACTTCCCTACCACAGTTCAATTTACAGCGCGTGTGGCTAGTCTGGATGCTGTCAGCACACTTTGGATCGACACGCTCGTATTGTTTTACTTAAGTAGAGATCACAGGTAGCTTATCAGTGGCAGGCATATCTGCTAGACGCTGTAGTAAAAGTTGATGGTCCATCATAAAACAGGGCCATTAACTACGTATTTTTCCAACGTTTCCAAACGTTTAAAGGCTTCTGTCTTTAAGGTGCTTCGTCACTTCAAATGCACATGAGAAGGTACCAGCCCCCAATTGGCTTCGTTCAATAAGCCAAGCCATAGGCGATTCCATTCGAATCTAACTAAAAGCGGAAGCTACAAATAGATTGATGGTCCTATTGACTGCTTTTAGGGGGCGTTTCCTCTGATAAGAACTAGAAGCCAATCGAATTATTTTCTTCGGTGTGCCGAAAAATAAATACTCTTACTGACTTCGAGTCGAGACACGATTTCTTTCTCTATATATATTCATATTTCATATATCACTCATGAGTTCTTTTGCTCGATTCGATCAACTTCGTCGCATTACTGCTCAGAAAACAATTTTACGCATATGGTATGCCAAATTTCATCAAGATAGTTGCACGATTAAGAGATATAGTTTTGTACAGTCTTCTTAAATATTTATAATCTAGAGCATCTATATCATATCATCTCGGGCATATCTGTGTCGAATCTATCATCTAATCTAATGTTTGTTACATATTTTGAAATAGGCTGATAATATATTTTTATATCTTCTGAAAGAGTATACAAGTGTTCTAAAGTGCCAAGCATTATCTGACGTAAAGCAGGTAGCAAAAGTCGTAATGGTCCAAGAAAAGAGAGTAAAGCCCATAATTAATATAGCCACAAGCTTATCTGAGAATGACAAGCAAGTTCTAGGCGCCAGGCATTGTATGACATTAGATATGTTCGCGTGCATCATATAAATGCACGAACTGGGAGACACATATGATATAGACAATATCATATTTAATATATGCATAGGCTTTATTGAAACTTCCTTAATCGATAACACTAAGACGAGTCCAATTAACTAGTCGCTGTGTTCTCCTTTTTCGTCTCACTTAAATCTATCTTGAGCTCCGGACCTGCCTTCAACTGGGATCCATTTAGGGGCAGTTCTTCCAATTCGTAAACATGATTCAGCTTTAGAAATTTTCTTACAAACGGCGTAAAGAGCTTTGGATTCTGGGTTAGCTGCTTGTCTGGCTTCCAGATGTAGCTCATGGGTATTGCCCACAGGATCGTTAGGAGGATACCCAATCCTTTGTACCAATAAAATGATATGTCAAATATAGAGAATTCGCGAGTGCTACCAAAGGCGCCCGTTACCAAAGGTGGCTTCGACGTGCTGGTGGCCTCAGTAATGGAGTTGTTGCGGCTATTAAATACAATAAACAAGAACTGAGTCAATTTATGTCGCTTTTAAGGGCGTGGCAGATCGCTTACATGGCATCCGAAATCATTTGCAAGTCCGACACTTCGCATTGATCCAGTGAATTGGGCAGGACATCATATTTGATGAGGCCGCTCTTGAAGTGCATCTGCGCATTTATGATAATCCAGAGCATGACAAGCATGCTGAATAAAATGCTCGAGCCGGCGACCTTGCTGTTCGCACGCGGATAAAGCATGCCCAGCAGAAACACGCCCACCACGGCGCCAGTGTTGATGCCAGTGATGCTCATCACAGTCTGTATTATGGAACTGAAATTCTGCACCATATAGCCGCCAACAATACAGTAAACACCCATGCCGATGATAATTAGCTTCATGGTCGCATTGGCCCGTGCCTCCGTATGCCGGATGAATGGCTTAATATAGTCAAAGTAGACCACGCCCGCCAGAGAGTTAAGGGTGGCCGAGAGAGTGCTCAGCGCAGCGCTAAAGACGCACGAGATGAACAGTCCCGGCATGCCTGGCAGATTACCCATTATGTCCTGTATAAAGAAGGGCATCATTTTGTCCGGCTTGCTGACCAGCTGTGGACGAGAAGACAATAGTTAAGCGCGTATAAATCCGGAAGTGCGGACTACTTACGCCTGCCAGCATGGGATCACAGCCGTAATAGCGGGCAAACATTATGATGCCAGTGAAGTTCATCATGCCCATGATGATCATAAAACCAATTCCAGCAATAACAAGCGATCTGTGGAATGTAATTATATGTATACTAGCTGCTATTTTCCGGCTTTATTTTTTAAGCCTCTCATTTTTTAATTATTCTTTCTAGATTTGAAATAAGTTTAAGCCCGATCAAATTAATTTTCAAATGAGCCAACACGGAAAACCTCGCCCGTTCAGATTTTTACTCCCATTTTAAATCCAAGAAGGGTGTATTTGTCAAAAGGTGTAAAGTGTAGCGGAAAACAGTTGAATCAAGCTTAATTTTTTATCATTCGTCGATGAATTCATCCAAGGAAGTGAATTTCTTCCGTGGGAGTAAACCTGCAACCTAACCCAATCGTTGAGTTTCATTGCCGCGAAGGATGAAGTGGATTTTCCTAAAAGTGTGAAAATCCTTTCAAATGAATTCAATCAAATATCTTAATAAGTTTGAGGCTGGTCGAAACAAAAGCATTTCATTCGATTTCCGCGATTTTTTCACACTTGCGGAAGGAATTGCCAGTTTTATATATAAAGATGTTAAGCCCAGTCGTATATATTTACTTTTTGGCATGCGCATATGAAGGCAAGGAGACAATGCGTTGCACACAGCTCTGGTTGAGACCAATGTGGCCCGTCCACATAAAGATGCCTCCGATTAAAGCGTTCCATACCGTAACGCGTATGCGTGGATCCAATCTGAAGCTACAAATAAAATGTTACCTCTTAATAATCGATAGAATACTTTATTTTTTTGAAACTGAAACTTACTCAAAATTAAAACGGCCACCATTGCTGGCATTCTCGAGAACCGAACTGAATCCGCCAGCCTGCATGGTTCCCAGCACGCCCACCATTATCACCGAGATCAACATGATGCCACCCTGCACAACGTCCGTCCAGACGACCGCCTTAATGCCGCCCAACATGGTATAGAAGACACAGACCGAGGAGACCATGGCATTGATCAGGTGAATGTTCATGCCGGTGACTGTAAAGGAATACGGACATTAGGCTTCAATAAAGTTCGGGTAGCTGGCAATCTCAATACCTTGCGAAAAAGCCAATGAGGGTATAAACATATACACGGGCAGCATGAGGCACGAGTTCATCACGAATGTTGCAGTAACCAACTGTCGCGTTAATTTGCTGAAACGTATCTCCAGGTACTAGGACAATAGACAAATCAGATTAGTAAATTGACTGATAAGAACAGAGTTCTCCCTTACCTCGTAACAATTGGACACGTTGTTCTCATAGAACACCGGCACTATAATATAAACCAGAATGGGCACAACAACAACCATCGCGATGACCACAAGAAAGTAGTTGAAACCAAAGGTATATATCTCGGCAGGCACGGACATGATGGCAATGCCAGAGAGTTGGCTAAATATATGTTAAGATCTAAATTTAATCTTTTATTTAGATACTAGGGGGTATTTTTTCAGTAAGCTTGAACTTTTCCACCCATCTTTCATATCCACTCATGAATTCCATGTCTCAAATTATATTTGAGTCAGATAAAAAGCAAGTTTGTTATTAAAGATATTCGCCTATTTTAATGCATGGGCATTAAATACCATAGGATCAGATTTTGTAGAGGCCAAACGGACACGCTTTGTCCAGAGGGTGGATTTTGAACAAAGCTGAAATACGTCTCAAGTGAATTTTTATCAAGATTCCTGAAAATAAGCTGGAGCACAAAGCGTCAAGAACTACAGTAAAGTTTTTAGTCAATCACCAATCAGTCAGTCAAATAGTCTGTATTATATATATAGAGGTGTGCTGTATAGGTTCAAATGCAAAATGTAATACACAAATCTTTACTAATATTCACTTGAAACCGAACGCACCTGGCCACTAAGGATACAGCTATGGGCAGTGTCTGCATCTTCTTGCCACCCCGTAGATACTCCTCGGTGGTATTCTTGGCCTTGGAAAAGAAGCCAAAGTAGACGCCAATGGCTGTCGAGGCGCATAGCATAAGCGAGAAGACCAGGTAATCCGCAATACCAAATGTGAGCGCCGCGGCCGAAGCTGCTGGCCCTGATGTGGATGTAGCCAGTGTTGTAGTACCTGACATGGTGGCTGTTTCTGGACTACTCTCTGCTATCCTCAATGCTACAATTGGATGCTGTCGGTCTTAAATGATTATCTGTGGCTACCTTATCTGTTGACATATCTTTATGTGTCTATATGAAGCCATCACCTTGACGTATCTTTTATAAACTAGAACGCGCTTGGAAGCCTTTTTATCTATTAAGTTCTGTGGTGTCTATATTATGTTTATTTTGACAAATATTTAGTTCTATATTAAAAAAGTATCTCGTAGACATTTACAGCTACTGCTAACAGTGGCAGCAGCAGTAACAGTGAACATGATTACACAGGGAGGAAAAATCAAGACAATTCGACTTGAAGCAAGCGAATTCGTTTTACTTTTAAAAACTTGAATCAATATATCTTTTCCAACCTAATTAAGCCCATTATAAGAACGAAATAACTCCAATTTGACATCGTCAGTATTTAAATTATCTCCACTTTCGCCTAGAATATAAATAGATCAAATCAAATAAAATAAACCCAATCTAACCAAAATGTATATACATAATTTTGATAGAAAGTATTGTTTTTAGGGTCGTCAGATAGATCTTAACACTAGCTGCAACCCGATGTTGAACAGAACCGGTTCAAACCCAGACTTACAATTTGTTTATATTTTACTATGAATCGACAAAAAAAGTGAATTTAAGTAACTAATTATCAGGATCTTATTTAAGATTGTAATTGTAAAGTCCCATGTAAATGCCGTACCAAACTTCAAAGTTAATTAACATTGCCAAAACTTTGCCAAAAACCGATTTTGATAAATTTGGTATAATTCTCCAATTCTCCAGTCTGGCAGATCTAATTTTTTCAAATTTTTGGCAGACATATTTTTTTAGTTTTCTAGGAACTTTTCTTTTTTAAACAAAGACTTAAGATTTATATTATTAAATTAAGTTAAGCTATATAATGAAAGTTATAACTCGGAACCAATAGCATGTTACGTTTTTCTCGGTTCCGATAACTTGCATATATATAGACATAGATCTTTCAGTATCCGAGCAATGACATTTTAACAATTATAAAAAAAAGCTGATTCTTTGATAAGATAACGCCTTTTCACGTTTCTTGTAATCTTTCTTTTTGAGCACTTAATTTAGATAGATAGGCAATTTTAAAGTCTTTCACGCTTTTTAAAAGGAAAAGTGATTTCAGATGCATGACTAGGAGCTACCCTGTATGCAATTCCAAGCTGTTTCTTCTATGGAAAATGTATTCTTGAATAAACTTGTGTTTATTGTCCGATAATAATGAGATTCTTAGGGGCATAAAATGTTATTTAATTCTGAGTATATGCAAAAAAATTAAGGGTATACCTTCTGAATTATAATTTTTAGACATTTTAAGGATATTCGGGAACGAAATTCATCAATTAAAGTGTTCTAGATTTACGTTTTGCTATATGTGAAGCACATGCTAAGTTTTGCTACCTCCGCCTGATAAAATTGTCATATTTTCAAAATCCAAAGCCTCAAACTGATATATATCGAGTTAAGAGAAATATAGATAGAATGGAATATGGAATGGATATGCAGGCGGGCTTGGTGAGATCAACACGACAATTTATGTCGATTAAAAGTTTCAATAGCTGATGCTTTTGTTGCCTATACCCTATTTTAGTATACCCTATTTTATTTTACCCATTTTCAATGCGTGCAAATAAGTCATAAGTCCAACAAGCTCTTAAGTTGTTCAAATATTTACCGACTAAGCGATAAGACGCTATAGCTTGATAAATTATAATGCTGACTGGTCTCTTCTGATATCCTTACATAGTCTCTAGAGTGTGTGCTAAAAAGCGAAATCTCACTTATTTTATTTATTTATTTATTTGTTTATAAACTATCTAGCTATCTAGAGGCTGTCGAAATTCTTACACGTTAGGCAGCTAATTAAGATAAGCGTTTTGTCAGATACGTTAAACCATATACATATCTAAGACTCGGATCTTGCCAACATCTTGGGGTTGGCCAGTGGGAGCCTTCATTTTGTGCATACTGAGCATATATCTTATGATCGTTGTATGCTTTACAAGTTTGCGTAGTATATAATACTAATTTAGATAATCACTTTTTGTAAAAGCTCTAACAGAATTCTTATGCCTTTATCTTTTCTTCCTGTTTCTCGACCCTTAGATCAGCTAGTTCTTCGAGGGGCGTCGGCTCGTACTGCACAAATGACTGTATAATTGGCGACAGTAGCTTCGGATCCAGCTTGGCACCCGATGCCGGTTTCAGCACATAACTGAGCGTTACGGCCACAAGCCAGGTGATACACATTCCGAGGACTGCATACCAATTGAAGGACATATCCAAAATGTTGAAACCAGAATCTTTTACGGCTTCCACCTTGATCGTGGCATTCAAGCGTGCAAGGGCTGATGTGGTCGTGGCAAGTGTTGCATTCAGGCCCGGGCAGTTGTCTACAGTGGTGGGCATAGTAGGGTAATGATTGCGCCCCCAACTGGCCACCACAATGACGGACATGCACGTAATGCTGCCAATGACGCCAGCAAGAGCCGCCTGTAAACAGAGTAAATAATCGTGGATATAGTCTCGATTTGTTGGATTTGATGGCAAATGCCGTTGGTACACACCCGACCATGTACCCTGGGTACCAACATGCCCAGTAGAAAAACGCCGCACACCGAGCCAAAGCTAACGCCGCCAATGGAGTAGACAATCTGCAGTATGGAGGCGAACTTCTCCACGATTATGCCGCCAAATATACAATAGACGCCGGAAAAGAAGACAAACAGCTTCATGATGACATTGGCCTTGTGCTCCGTATGGTGTATGTGGGGCTTGATGTAGTCAAAGTAAACGATGCCGCCCAGCGAATTGATGCTAGCGGAAAGTGTGCTCAGCGCAGCGCTGAAAACGCAGGAGATGAAGACGCCTGGCATTCCGGTCAGATGACCAATAATATCCTGCACAAAATACGGCACCATTTTGTCCAGCTTCCTGACCAGGCCCTGGGCAAGGGGATCGCAATCATGATAGCGAGCATACATCACGATGCCCGTAAAGCAATTGAAGCTCATGATGATGACAAAGCCCAGACCAAAAAGTACCAGCGCTCTGCAAGAATGCGGGATTAGGTTGGGTAAGTGTAGACGGGCTTAGCAAATTCGTATAGGTTTTGTGTGTTACCTTCTGGCTTTTGCTAGCGATGGCAACGAAACGATGCGTTGCACACAGCTCTGATTCAGACCCACATAGCTGGTCCAAGCTATCACAGCTGAGGAATACACATTCCATAGCGTGGAGCGTTCCGTGTGATTGAATGTGTAGCTGAAAATGGACTCTATACCAATAGCTATCCAATAGAGTTGTTGGTGGTACCTACTTGACCTTCAAGCGACCGCCCTCGCCGGCAATGCGCAACACCTCGCCAAGGCCGCCCAATCGTTGGGCACCCATGATGCCCACCAGCACCACTGATACGACCATAATGCTTGCCTGCACCACATCTGTCCAGACGACTGCCTTAATGCCGCCCTAGTAAATAAAGTAGATAATGTTTATTCGAATTTCTCTATGATAAGATATATACGATCTGCTTACGATCATTGTGTAGAAGACGCAGATGCTGCAAACGATCGCATTGATAATGTGCACATTATAGCCGGTTACTTGGTAGATAGAATAATAAATATTTAGTTAGTCGTAGGTATTAATTATATATATGAAAATACAGGTTGCAAATAAATTCATGATTAAAAATGAACTCAAATAAAATATTCCAGGCTATGAACTGGTAATCCATTTCACTTTTGTAGATGTCGAAAACCAGTTTCACGAAGGGAACCTTAAGGCAAGGAGTTGGTTCACAACGCGAAACGAGCCTTTTCTTATTCAGCCCCATTAATTTAATTATTATTACTTGAATTAAGATTATTACTGTTATGGTTTTTCTTATTATCATATTTCCTTTGCTTTTAAGCACATTGATTCAAACTATGAATACAACTTTTTAAAACCACCAATATGAATAGACTAGCCTGATATTCCGAGTTCTTTAAGAAATGATTGGATGTATGAGACGGAACCTACCTTGCGCAAAAGCCAGGGATGGCAAAAATATAAAAATTGGCAGCATGAAGAATAGAGTCAGCACAAAAATAAAGGTTTGCAGCTTGCGGGTGGCACGATTAAAGCGCAACTCCAGATACTAGTAGGGAAAATTAAACTATATATAATCACAAAATTAATGAGGCCTTTAATCTGAATCCCACCTCGTAGCAGTTGGTGATGTTGTTGTTGTAAAACACAGGTATTATCACATAGTTGAGAAGGGGTATAACCACCAGCATAGAGGCCACATTGAAGAACCAGTTAAATCCAAAGGCAAACATCTCCGCCGGAATGGTCATGATGGAAATGGCCGACAGTTGGCTGGCCACCAATGAGATGGCGATGGGCAGTGTCTTCATCCGTTTGCCACCCATCAGATACTCATCCGTTGTATCGGCGCCCTTGGCAAAGAATCCAAAATAAACACCAATTGCAGCCGATATGCTCAGCATGAAAGTGAAAACTATATAGTCGGTCGTTTGGAACGTAAACAGCGAGTCGGCCAGGGTCTGGGCCGTGGCATTTAAGAGGGCCGACATTGCAAAGGATATATATTTTAATCCGATATAACTAAGTAAGTATTTCACATGCACTTTCCGACACCGACACGAGTTGCTTAATCACAATTGATCTTCACATGGCGCCTACAGTGCTTTATATAAGTTTTTTGTCCTTTAGAAGTTTATCTTTAACTGTGATAACTTTTAAAGCTTAGCTATCGACTTTATTATAAAAGCAGTTATCTTAACGATGCCATTTTACTAGTATAAGTTGATCGTCTTTAGACATATATAACGCCTCTATGATTTTATCAGATAAGCCCTGACAATGATGATGACTCCGCAAATCTATTATCTGTCTGAAGTCGAGCTGGCAATCAACCAACCCATTCATTGTTTTAGCCGTAGTCACACATCAAAATGATATCGCAAGTCATAATAAGATCGCAAAGTTTTTTCACTCGGGCTGGGCAAATAATGAAGTGGGCGCTGTTTATAATTAGAGTGAAGACTTAAAGACATTTGGGCTTATGTATTGCTGGAAAACCTTATCCGCAACACGTACATATATTTGGTTGCAATTGCTGTGACATAACACACACGAATTCCACTTTACTGTTGCCGCCTGTCATCCTCTGCGGGTCGCATCAGTGCAACACACTTGTGGCACTTACCACTAACCACTTATGTGTGCCTCTATCGGGCTATGCGCGTGAGTACCGGCTATGTTGCCATAGTTGGACGTAACATGCATTAAATTGAACAAGTAGATTGAACTTGGCATGGGCTGACGAACATTGTATACCCTACACCTTCCTTTAAAGACTCCAAGATATGTACAAGATGTTGTCATTTTTAATTAAATATTTGATCAAACTATTTGTGCCTTAGAACTGGATCTGTTTAGTTAGGACCACAAAAATTGGTTAAGAAATAAATAAGAAATTGGTTAAAAAAATTAAGTATTAAATGAGGCCCGAATGCAAACTATTTGCACTAAGCGCTTTTCCTTATACACTATTGGAAAATCATTATTGAATATCTTTCGTTTTCCGATCCTTAGACAATTTTTAGCCCAAAGCGAAAAGAGTCGAACTCAAAAAATGATTTTCTTTTCTCAAATTTATATGGTGAATGGGAAAAGCTATCTCAAAAGTGAAATATGGCTAATCTGTGTATACTACACCATGTCATCCTGATCAAGACAATATTGCATTATATAGAAGAATATGTTTCCTTCTGCCTGCTGCAATGACTTGCAGGAACATTGTACATATATTCGGATTTGTATATAAATTGAGCGAGTCAAAGTAGTTGCCTCAAGCTTGCTGCTCTCATGATATATATCTTATGGCACCAATAATTGCATCCCTATCTACTTGCCAAATCTACGTACACTGAGGTAGGGTATACAGCTGTTAATGATGCCGAATGTTGGTTAAGTGGCTACGTCGCCTGCTGCTGCCCGCAGTCATCTTCATCGTTATCCATGTGTAATATGTGGTTAATGGTCAGCCTCGCGCGCTGCACTGTGACCCAATCGCAATATCGACTGCATCTGACGAAATCGCGTCTTAATGAGCGTCTGGCGCGAGACTTGAGCACTTGCCGCGTCTGCTCTTCGGATATTGATGAGAGCTCCACAAGTCATGGCTACTGCAGCTTGGTTGGTTGCGTCTTCCAATACGAAAAGTGAAAGGATTTTTCAAGCTGTACGCAATAAACTAGACACATCATGATAATGTCGAATTCGTTTAGACTCTCGTAAAATCAATGAGAATTCGAATTTGATTTTGGATGTCATCGAACAGCTGAAACCAAGATTTTAGAATGTTGTTTAGTTTTAATTACCAAATCAGAATAATCTAGGTCAATTGGCAGATGCATTATGTAAGATATGAAAAAAACCGCTAAAAACGCGCATTTCATTCAACATGAAATTTCAAAACTGTAAATAAATATTATATGTTTTTTCCAAGCATAAAATGAAAAGATTGAATATTTTAACGGTGACAAAATTTACTATTTTTTTTATTATTTTCATATTTTTTTTTGTTGTTTCTTTGTTTGTTTCATAAAAATAAAAACACTTACATGCTAATAATGCGTTATAACACTGTTTTGTGGGGAAGAGTTTGTTTGTTTTTGTTGTTTGATACAAAAAAAGTGTTGAGAAAACTATTTACAAAAAACAAAAACGAATTTCACCCCGAAATTCGGTTAGCTCTCAAATGCCAAGGCGAAATTGCATTTTGAGTTCAAATAGAAAGATAGTTTAGAGAAATTATACAGTCACTGAGTCTGGGTCTTCTAGAGGAAAGGTGAGATAGCGCGAGATTTGATAGGGGATGGTAGGTGAATGAAACGGTGGATGGATTCGACCGTTCACTCTACATCACTAGTCGAACTACGTTTTCACTCAGAAGGTGTTTCAATGGGGAGGCGGGGGCGTGGCGCGCACGAACTTTGAGCCAAGTTCAAGTACTGGTTGTTGGTGAGCCCATACTTTCATAAATTCTTGTTGATTTCAGTTATTGTTGTTGTTGTTGTTGTTGTCGTTAGGTCAGGCTGTGTCGATTAATGTCGTCCTTTCCGTCGGTATTCATTTTTTGGCAGCAAAAATTTGTTTTAGATGTGAGTCACTTGGCTTAGAAGGGCGCACCATAGCTGCCGCTGGGCCTTGAGGGAGCACCATACGAGCCAGATGGAGCACTGGGATAGCCACCGCCGGTGCTAGCCTGCGAGCTCTGTTGCGCAAACTGAGCCACCTGGATGGCTTGACGCACGCCCTCAAGATCGATGCCAACAACGCGACCGCCTCCATTGCCGGGCGCACCATAGCTGGTCGAGGGTGGGCCATAGCTGGAGGATGGTCCGCTTGGGTAGCCACCACCGCCACCACCGCCGCCGCCGCCGCCACCGCCGCCCTGTTTGCTCTCCTCATTCAGCAGAATCTGACGCACCTGCTCCAGCAGCTGGGGATCAACATTTTGTCCCTCCGATGTCTGGAAACCACCGCTGACGGCTTGGAATCCACCGCCGCCACCGAACGAGGATCCGCCGCCAAAGCCACCGCCAAATCCACCGCCGCCACCACCGCCACCACCGCGGGGATAATTGTAGCCCGATGGGGGCTCAGCAGCGGCCAGAGCAGCCAGAGCAAACACTAAGAACTGTTGACGATAGGGTAATCCAATGGTTATCCACAGTGTAATCCACACTTCTTCTTTCGGCTACTTACCACTGAGAAGGAGTTCATAGCAATGAGTTTTGTGGTGTATGTGTGGGGGAGAGAAGTAAAATTAAATTATAAGGCAAATTTAGTTGCTTTCGAGTGGGGAGCCAGCGACTGAATGCATTCCAAATGCCACGCAGGCCCTCTTTATACTCCACACAACGGCCGCCGTGTGTCTTCATCATGCGGTCTGCACTCCGCCTCCTCGCCCAAAGCGTTGCGCCGAGTCAAGTATTCATCGACTTCGTCGGGCCAACATCATTATCGGCAACTTCGTCTTCTTCATGATCGCTAACGATAGCCAAGTCATTGGACGCTAATGATCATCACAACACACACACACACACACACACACACTCACATAAGAGTTGTTGTTGTTAAAGCTTGTACCTTCATCTTCAGCGCCGACTTGTTTTTGGCGGGCGACCTGCGGCCAGCGTACAACTCCAACTCCAATTGCTGGCGTCGCCTGTTGTTTCCCACCATAAAGCAAATATAAAAATAAATAAAAATAGATAAATAAATACAAAAAAAAAAAAAATAAATAAAAATAAAGCTGAAAAAATCGAAACACTAAAAACTAAAATGTCGCTAACATTTTTAGTTGTCTGTACTTGCATTTGAAATTTCTTCGGCACTTTCCTCGATTTGCACGTTTTGGTGGCTCTTTCGACAGTTTTGCTGAGACAGCAACATCGACATCTCTCGACTTGACCAGGAAGTCATTTAAGCATCCATTGATTTACAAAAAAAAAACCATCGTTGATTAACCCAGACAGTCGCAAATGTCAATTTCCAGCTAGCTATATTTCATTTATTTTAGTTCTTCGAAATAGCTATTAATAATTGTGAATCCCCGGGAACTATTTTGACTACATCTATTTACACCTGAAAGCCCTCGATCTATAGCATAAGTCAAATAAGAGTAAACAAAGGGCGCCATAATTTGCACCTTGTGCACGATTACGAAATAAGTTGTCTGAGAAAATGTGCTATATAATTTCCATGTAGAGCACTGGGCCGCAGTCCACAGACGAACAGCCAGACATATAATCAACGTTGGCCGATTTCCCAAGGAATTACATTAAGGTTTCAATTATTTAAATTCACATAGCAGAACTGAGCAGCAGCTGCTCGTCTGGTAAAAGTTGTAGTTGTGCAGTTAAAAAAGAAGACCAAAAGTTAATGATATGGTACCTACATATGTATGTATGCATGTGGGCATGGATGTGTGTGTGTATTTTTTACTCGTAATTCGAACAAATGTTTCACTTCACGTTCGCACTCTCCATTCGCGTTATGTCTGATATTTTATTATACTCGTTTCCAAAGCGAAAAGAGTATATAGGTGTTTTACTTCTTTTTTTTTTTTGCAATATCTGTGTTGATGTCCATTCGTCTGTCCGTATGAGCACTATATTTTAACCGTGTTGAATGAATGACTTGACACTTGGAATATATACTCGTTTTTATCCGCGTCACAAAAGGTGTTATTATTATGTGGAGGCGTGGCAAATCGCGAAATGCGATATCCACCACTGCCTAAAAACTAGAGTGACCAAATTTGAACTGGAGATCGATTGAAAAGAGCGCGCAAATTTGTAATGAGAGATAAAGCGTGACCAAATCTTAAATAAAAACTACTAGTGAGGTCCTTCGCACATGGACTTAGTGCGATCTCTCAATAAATGATGCCTGTCTTAAGCTGTTATCTGACTCTGAACAAGTATTGCGCAGTCGGTTGGATCCGACTGCAACATTCTTGTTTATTATGCATTGGGTCTTCCCTGACGCGCTTTAAAGTGACATAACCCGTGTGTAGGAAGCGATGATTCATTGGCATAGACAAATATGCGAAAAAGATTTAAAGCCTCTAAGCAACCGACGAGCTTGCCCGCGATTCTGTCAGTACCGCAGCACACACAGCTGATCTAACGGATCAGTAGGCGTATACGTAATATATTGTACGTTAGCTGTCTCAGTCGAGCTGTGCGTATTATGTCAACATGAACAGCATTGTGACGTGCCACAATATAACTGTAGAGGCTCTCAAGCGCATAAAGGCGAAGAAAAAATGAAAAAGAAAAAGATGTGGAGCACAAGCAGCTGAAAATGAAACCGAATCCCAATCAAAAAGCCAAGTGGCAGTAAATTGTGGTAAATGAGGTTTATTTACTTGTACATCTCTCAGTTAACTTTCGCAAAGTGCAACGGTGTTTTTGGAGAAGAGAGAAAGAGAGAGAGAGAGAGAGAGAGAGATCTTGACTCTTATGCGCCGCTGCGTTTAGTTTAGGGCTTATTGAAAACCTTCACGCTTCAAAGTGAAGGACTTTAGCGGCTGCGTGCGGTGTTGCGTGGCGGTGGCGGCAATGACAACAGCGGCACGACTCCGAGCCCAGCTCTTGCAATTTGGTGGCAACAAGATGAAAGTCAACACTTAACACTCTCAACAGCAGCGCGGGCAGCGCAGGCATCAGAGGCAGCTCAAGCTTGAGCCCGACTTCAATGACAATGCGCTAAATCATTTTTTTTTTTTATTTTTTCTTGTCTCTGTCTTAAATTATTTTTATCAGCTTGTAGTATTGTTGTAGCTACAGCTGCTGCCACTGTCACTTTAGGTTTTAATTTGGTTTATTGTGGTGCTGTCTTGAGCTGCCTTGTGAAGGTCTCTCTCTCAATTTATTTCGTAATTGTCTTCTTTTTTTTTTCTCTTTAACTCGCACTTTCAGCCTAGTGCGAGCTGTAATTGGAATAATATGGAAGGGCTTTACGATTCGTGTCGCTTTTTTCCTGCTCGGGGTGTCATTCTAAATTACTAGCTTGGTCACACTGGAGGATCGGCCTGGTCTGGGACTGGCATTGGGGCAAGCCCGCTGCTCTTTTGCTTTTATTTTTGCATGTTTTGTTTTGTTATCGTTTTTGGTGCGTTGCTTTGGCCATTCGCTTCGTTTTTAAACGATTTTTTTTTTTTGCAATTTTAATGAAACGCTTTATTGCACGCCACATTATATTTATGTACATACGCTTTGTGTGTGTATATCTGGTCAAATCCATCATTAACACGTCCACTAGGTCAGCGTAGACGACGCCGTCATGACTTACATTTGCTTTTGGACTGTTTTTTTTTTATTTTCTCTGCCTAATGGCGGCCTAAGTAGATGTTCATTATCCGCGCACATGTGTGCGTGTGCGTTTGTGGTAGTGCGTTTGTGTGAGTGCGTTTGTGTGAGTGCGTTGGTAATGGTTATGCCACTTTAATTGGGCCAGATAGCGGCTGGAAAATACAACAAAATGACAACAAAGTTGGCAAATTGACTGAAGACGCGGCTAAATTATCAAATCGTCGTTTGTCTATGCCAATTGATGGATAATTCGATAAGGCTTTTATTACAAAATCTATTTAGTTGTTTATGTACATATGTTTATGTTTATGTATGTAGGTATATTTTTGTAGAGCGCAACGCCCCTGTCAACAAATGGGAACAGCTGTTGATGCCAAAACAAATTTGCACTGGTAAAAAACAATTACTTGGCATTGATATAATATTTGTTTTATCTGCGTGGTTCAAAAAGTATAAAGCAATACAGTATATTTAACAGATACATTCAAGATTTTGTTAACCAATACTTGCCGAATATTCGTTAGGCGCAGCTATCTTAATGCATTGGGTGCTGCCAGATCACAAAAAAATTTGGCAAACGAGCTGTAAAATGCAATGTTGATTGAATACGAAAATTTCAATTTTATAGTTACCATCTTGGTACTATTTAATTAGAAGATCGCACAACGCAGTCATTAAATCTTCCCCAGATTATGTCCGAAATATATTCCTTATGTTTGCCCAATTTAATGACATATGCATCTTGTGCTGTTAATTGTTAACTAAATTTATGCAGCTGTGTGGCATCTTTGCTAAAACCGTGATTTGTGATAAAGAGAAACCAATTTTTCAACATCTCGAAAACTGGCGAATCATGTGTAAAAAAAACGGATTATTCAAGCATATAAATGACAGGGGGGTAAAAACCGGTGACAAATGCCGAGAATATCGCAAGATGTAATTGCTGCTGATGAAGATGAATGCGCTAAAACCGTAGGCACAAGGCACCGGGCAGACTCAGCTGGCAAACAGTTACATAAGGCGCCAACGCAGAAGAGCCCCTCGAGCGGCTGTGGCAGTAGCAACAACCTCGACGTCTTCTTTCGTTTCCTCAAAAAGACAAAACAAGTTTTATTTGTCCGACAACGACTTGAACCGTGCTCCTCGCTTTATGTAAGTCAAGCGTGGAGACTGATACAGCCCCGAGCCAGCCGCTGCCACAGCAGCAACAAAGACAGCAAAGACAACGGCAGCCGGCATGCAGGCAGATGAGTTGCCCATGTTGCAGCCAGCGCAACCAGAAAACGTAAGCGGTAGCTGTAGAGGTGCGCGGGGGTGGCTCGGCTAGGCAAGTGAAATTGCATATGCAATGCGAATTGAAGCTAGACAAAAAACAACAAATTTAAAAGATGCTGTGAAAACCGAACGTGCATAGAAATGCTGAAATTGTTTGGGAAATTGCTGCGACACGTTTTGCCATGTCTGCCAGGCAGACTGACTTGCTGGAACTCGGCCCGTGGCTTAATGTCTGGCTTCGGTAGCGGCTAGAGTTGATTTGCCACCACACCACCAAAACATGTCCACTCTCGGCAGCCATCGCTGGCAAGTTCTGCGCACAAACTTTAGCCTTTGGGTGCTTACATTTGATCAGCTTATGCAAAGATAGCAGCTGCGCCTCAATGGGGACTCGCCTTTGCGCAATGCTCATGCAGCTAGTTTATGGCCATATGGTCAGTAGAGATTCTCAAGACGGCAGGCCAAAAGTAAAAGTTCAGGCGGGTTAATCACAAATCACAAATCGTTTGCCAACTCGGACACCCTGCTGGTCACAGCGTGCATTTTTTATCAGCAGCTCGATTATGTTCCGAAATTATAGCATGATTTTATATAGCGTTAATTATGGCCAAATCTGGCTCATCCGCTAATCATGGCCATAGATGCCAGCCGTCAGCGAGAGATGAGACTCAATAAGCTATTTGCTATTTTTACGCTTTCTGGCTGAGGTATAATTATAATTAATTGACTTTTGTTTATCTGAATAAGTTCATTAGCAGCTGAAAAGAAAATGACCTCTATTTTGATGCATTCATAAAAAAAAATATCGCTAAGAGCTTGCAATTTTTCTAACGGCCAATCGAAACATGCAAATCAAACTATATTTATCGATTAATTAACGATTTTAGTCGACGGTTTGCTCAATAAATTTTGTTATTGCTTAACGTAAACAATTCAATGAACTGTTCGGGGATTGGTCGACGCAAAAGTAATGTGACCAAAGTATACAGATACGCTGTATACTTTTAGGCGGTGTCAATGTGCCAGGTAACAGTAAATTCACACTTATTAAATAAATATTTAGAAAATATAGTTTCTATCGATACTAAGCAGCGGAATTGATTAGTATAGTAAATGTAATTATATTTGTTATACTTTAAAGAATTTTCGTTGTCAAAGCAAGCTAGCTTGTTTAATCGCCGTTAAAAACAACAATTTTAACGTTGATAACCAAATTTAACGTGCACCTAACTTAGCGAGAGTCGGTCACACTGAATTTACAACAGCTGACTGTGCACGAACCTGTGAATGGCCGGACGCCATTACGTTACGTGCTGACGAGTCGTGTACGTGTACAATAAAAACAGGGGAAAATAACGAAAATATATGTAAAACACACAGAGAGAGAACAGTCAAAATTAACCGTGTCGATGTCGGAACGCTAAAAAGTACAAAGCAATAAACTTAAAACATCTATATCTGACGTTCACGGAAATAGACCAGAGACACATTCAACATTAACATCTTTCTCGAGTCAATCAGCCAATTGGCTGGCTTTGCAACCAACTGCGACAACATGCAGTTGCTAATTTCAAGTGTTTGCATGGCGCTGACCAGCGCCGTAATTGGCAACGCCTACTACCAGAAACAGCAGTTCTATCCGGCCGTCGTATATATCACCAAATCGAATGCATCCATGGCGGTGAGTGGCAAACCCATTTGCTTTCCCAACAAAACAATAAAATTATAACCACAATGAATTTTCGATATTTACAGGTAATCTACATACAATTCTTTGTGATAGTCTTTATGTTTGGCAAGCTCTTGCGCAAGGTATAAATACTTCTCATATATAAACATATTACTATCGGTTCGGAATTTTGATAATTATGGCTTATTGCAGATATTTCTGGGCACGCTGCGTGCCGCTGAATTTGAGCATCTTCTTGAGCGTTTTTGGTATGCACTCACGGAGACCTGTTTGGCATTTACTGTGTTCCGGGACGACTTTAATCCTCGCTTTGTGGCGCTTTTCACAGTGCTACTATTTCTCAAATCATTCCATTGGCTCGCTGAAGAACGCGTTGACTTTGTAAGTGCTCAACGAGCGCCGGCAACCAGGACCTTTGCGTATTTATTAATTCTGAGTTTTCTTATAGATGGAGCGTTCTCCAGTACTGGGCTGGTTGTTTCACATACGTGTCGGCAGTCTGCTAACCATGCTGGGCATACTCGACTATGTGCTGCTTATGCATGCCTACAACTCGACTCTTGTGCGTGGTCCGACGGTCCAGCTGGTGTTTGGCTTCGAGTATGCCATTCTGCTGACGGTCATCGCCAGCACGGCCATCAAATATGTGCTTCATGCTGCAGAGATGCGCACCGATACGCCCTGGGAAAATAAGGCCGTATTCCTATTGTATACTGAGCTGGTTATTGGTCTCATTAAGGTGGTGCTTTATCTGCTGTTTGTTGTCATTATGGCGAAGATTTATGCATTGCCGATGTTCGTCTTCCGACCGATGTTCTTTACCATACGCAATTTCCGCAAGGCGCTCAACGATGTCATTATGTCACGTCGCGCCATTCGTAACATGAATACTTTGTATCCAGATGCAACGCCCGAGGAGCTGCGACAATCAGACAATATCTGCATCATTTGTCGCGAGGACATGGTGAATCACTCAAAGAAGTTGCCTTGCGGCCACATCTTCCATACAACATGTCTGCGCTCCTGGTTTCAACGTCAGCAAACCTGTCCCACATGTCGCCTGAATATACTGCGTACACCGACAGTTAATTCCACAGCAATGCCGCGACCAGCTGACGAGCCTGCAAATCCAGCAGCTCCAGCCGCCGCCCAGCCAGCAGCTGGCGCAAATGTTGCTGCAAATATCCCAGCAGCAGCACCAGACGCTGGTCTGCCGCGTCCAAATGGTACAGCCGGACAAAATGCAGCAGCACCCCCCAACTTTTCAGACATATTCGGCGATACCAGTGAGTGACTGCCCGTTCTCCTTAAAGATTGCATATTTCACTTACACATTTTCCTGACCTCCAGATAACCTAGGAAATGGATTTCCAAATCTAGCTGGAATTCCACCGCCGCCCATGCTGTCGCCATTTATGATGCAGCCACCATTTCCATACTTTACGCCGCCGATTGTACCGCCACCGCCAATGCCGCAGGACTTAAACACTTTCAACGAGGATGAGCTGCTCGCCATGGAGGGTAATTTACGCCAACACGTTCAAGAACGTCTTAAGGTAAATATAAACTGTTTACATTATTGTGCAATAACCCGCTTATCTGTAACAACTTTCAGATGCTACGCAATATTTCGCTAATGGTGGACTCGGCCAACATCCTGATGCAACAATACCAAGGGATAATTGCGCGGCTGCCACCGCCCATACAAGTGCTACCACCAGTCCCAGAAACTGCGGCTGAAAACGTGCCCAATATAGTACCAGTGGCCACTGCAGCAGCAGAAGCACCATCAGCAGAACCAGTACCGGCAGTAAGCAGCCCCACATCTTGTGATAAACCCAGCACATCAAGAGCAGCGGCTGCTGTCGCTGCTGAGGATAAGCAGCAAGTCAGTGTTGCTTCAAGTAACCCTGTCTCAGAAAAAGTCACTATTGAAGATCTGGGCGCTGAGGAGGATGTTGTGCTGTCCACGAATGCTGCATGCGGGGATGTTGATAACGAGGATAGCTCCGAGCTTAGCGAGTTGCGAAAGCGACGCTTGAAATTTTTAGAGGAACGCAACAAATCACCAACTAGTAGCGACCAAACAGATTAGAATTTGAAGAACTGAATTTAATCAGCAGCGGCAGCCTTCACGCCCACCTCGCTATCACACGTGCATCCAGATAATTCGATGTGTATTCTATGAATGGATATTGATTTTAGCTTCTACTACATATTGACCTTATCTTTTACAAAATTCCTTTGACTTTGTTGTGTTGGCATGGTTTTCAATATGGGGAACTGTTGATGAGTGCGTTGACATTGTAGAAGGCTCGCATACATAAAACGTTATCCGTGTGGAACGGGGGTCTATGACAAAGCGGGGCGTGCAAACCCAATATATACCAATATATATTGTGTAAAAAAAAACTAATTTAGAAAAGGGGAAACTGATGATTTATAATTAATATTATTATATGTGTATAATTAATGTGAAATATAATTAAAACGAAAAGACGACATGAGTTGGATGCTATTTTAAGAGTACATATATAATAGTAAGAAATAATTTAAACACGTAAAACTACACATAAATAACAACTGTGGAACGCCTAGCGCCTCTCGCATGAAAGATCTGCATTTGCAAGTTTCCGGATCAAATGCGCGATTCGATTTCCCGGAACTCGCCAGGATCGGTGAAGTGTACAGTCAAAATGTAGAACAAAGAGGGAAACGGCACCAGGCACAGCAACGCATAATGGTAATTCAAGGAGCAGATGCCAAAAGCAAGCAGCAGCCAGTGAACAGCTAAAGTAAAATACATTTTAATACTGTACCGAATCTAACTGCGACAGACGACTTACAAATAATGACAACATTTTTGACATCCCACACAGACGACAGCAGCAACGCCTTCTGCGTTTGATCTAGCTTTAAAGAGTAGTGAATGGCGTTGGCCACCATTGACATAGCGATACTTAGATAGGGGAACGAATAATCTGAAAGAAATTAGTTAATATTATGTGCTGCACCAAGGATATTTGGTTAACTTACAAATAAGGCCACAGCAGGTGCCATGAATTAATGTCAGCAGTGGCAGAAAATAGAGTGCTGAGTAAATGGGCGCCTTGCCGCGCACATCCATCATGGAACTGATCACAGGCCGTATAAGAAACATATTGAGCAAACACAAAAAGTAATACACCAAAACAATTGTTTGCCTGCATATAAGAAAGATATTTCATATAAATTTGTAGAAAGTCTTTTGCCATTGACTTACAAGGGATAGACAGCTTCCTGGGTGCAATGATACGTGGTTTCATAGTTGGGATTGGGATTGTAGAACAATGTGTACCAGTCGGTAAGTTTTCGCACCTCGCACGAGTACAAACGCATTTCCCACATTGGTTCCATGAAGAGTGTGGACAGTATTGCCGCAAGTGCCACCTCAATGAAAGCGCTGGCTGTGAGGATTAACTGCTTGCGCGAAAACTTTCGATCTTTGGCATCCAAGTCGATAAAGAAACAGTGCATCATAAGTGGCAGCATGGTCATAAAACCTAAATACAGCCACGAATAGGTGGTGAGTTCGTCCCGACACGGCGTACACGCATAGCTGGCGTTCACCTTTAACAAAAAAACAATGCAGCATTAAACCAAAACAAAACAAAAATTTAGGCAACATACCCGTGATCCTCTGGGACAAACTCCGCAGCTGCTCCAACTGCCATTTTCTAGCAGTGATCTACCACAATAAATGCCGGGACAACGATCCAAATAATTGTACATCTTTATATTAAAGTGGATTATTGTTTTTTCTTGCTCGCTTGGGAGCAATGTTTTTTATTTCACCCAACACTAACATACAGCTGTGGGCACCCAAAATCCCTAACATTTGCGGAAATGTTTTTAACAGTGCGTCTCTGGACAGCCGCCGGTACTCGTCTTTTGTTGTTGTAAATATCAAAATTTGACTTGCGATTCAGTGTGAAACGGCAAACAGTTTGTTAAGAGAACAAACTTATTTCATATATCTTTAAATTAAATTAAGAAACGAGAAATTAATTTCCAAATTGAATTTAATAGCTAACCGGCACAAACTGACTGTCTTTAAATACATATGATAACATTGCCAAAGCGTACCAGTAACAGAACAGCTGTCCTTACATTCACTATACATTTTTTCGATACCTTAAAAAATCACTGAACGGAACTGCAGTAATCATTCTTAAGATTATGACAAAACTGCATTTCTAATTGTTGCCGACTTTATTTCTGAACGTTAAGAGTGTCCCAACCTATTCACCCACAATCAAGACATATTGGGGAGGGCGGTCGATAATGACCAGGGGTGCAAGGTGGTTTGTTCCGTCGATGTTAAATTTAGGCAGGTCGACAATCGACCGGCTACTATAATCTATCGGCCGTCTACACAAGTAAAAATAATAATTAACTCTAATATACGAATTGGAAGTAGCTAGTAAACTTAAATAATTTATATAAATTTAATAGGCAATACGCCAGCAAGTAAAAAAACAAACATCAACAATTGCAAAAATTGGCCATCACCAACGGAGACGCCATTTTGGCTATCGGCCGGCTGATTTGTAAAGCTTAGGAGAGCCAGCCAGCAAAAATTGCAAAAAAAAGATACATAATTAGTTTTTAACATTTTGTGCAACAACTATGACATTCTAACAACCAAGCCCAAACCAAATGTGCGTACAGATATCGTGGCAAATTAGTGCGACAGTGTAAATTAATGCGTATATTAACAAAAACGCACAGTGTTTTTAGGGCGGATGCACAAAATGGTGAGTTGTGCAAAAGCAAAATGATTTGGTGACTACATTTGTATGTGTAGATGTGTAGCTGCGCTAATATATATATATATATATGTGTGTGTGTGTTAATGTGTATGTTGGATGTGAAAAATGTAGCGAAACGTCAATGTCCTGCAATACTAACTGCAAATTGCAAATATAATATCAGGTTTCAGCAGAAAATGACTATTTAATCACCCACCCGCCGTCGTAATTCTGCTTACACAAATTCCAATTGGATTTTATATTCGTTTGCCGTGCGCTACACTTGTGCGGGTCTATGCCCTCCCCCTACCCTTCCAAATTGTGCTGCACTGCCTATGTACATATATGCATATATGAATGTACAAATATGTATGCAGTGTTGACAACGAACAATTCGTCGCTCAAATGATAAGTTTGCACGTCAGTTGTCAGATTGAAAAATAAAAGTTTTGAACTGCTGAAATCAAAGAAGAAGCATAAGTAGGAGCAGACGAAAAATACACAGGACTGGAGCTCGTCGTCTTTGGTAGTAAAATAAGTGGTTGCTCTTTAAACATTTGTTCTTATGGTCCCCGGCGCTTTTGCCGGATGGGATGGGGTGCCGTTCCACGGATACCCAACGCAGCAGGCAGTGATGTAATTTTTGGGAAAAGCAAAAAATCTTCTTTGTTTGGCTACAAAAAGAAAATAATAACAAATAAATAAATATAAGCAGGAAAAGAACAACGTAAAACGGCAACAACAACATCAAATTAAATTCACACTGTCGCTGTGTGTATGTAAGTGTGCGAGAGAGTGTTGGTGTGCGTGTATTAGTGCTCATATGCTCACATATATTTGGCCACTGTTCGGCTCCCTCCGCCGCCGTTGCCTGACCCCCGTCTATTAAATAATATTGATTTTTCATATTCCAACCCACTCTCAAACACTCTCATGCCACAATTTGCGCTCGCTCTTTTCGTTCGTGCGTGCGCCAGTGTGTGTGTGTGTGCGTGCGAGTGTATTTTTTCGGTCTCCTTTGTGCGCTTGTATTCATTTTTCTATTTCTTCTTTTTTTTCTTACTTCGTTGCAGTTTATAGATTTTTGCAATTGTGTCCGTTGAGCAGAAATATGTAAACTAAACGCAGCGCGCCGCAAACAGCAGCCGTGCATGCAAAAACAACAACAATAGTTACAACAAAAACAACATCAACAACAACAGAAAACCCCGTTTCTTATTGGGATAACAACAACACCAACAACAACAATAATAATAATAATAATAATAATAAGGAGAAGAAATAAACAAAAACCAAGAAGAAATTAAAAAAAAAGGTTTTCAAACATCGTCAAACAATAGACAGAGGCAAAACAGACGCCGACGCCGACCAACAGTGCCTATGTACATTGGTTACAAACATTATTCTTTCATTTGATTACTTACGCAAACCCAAAACAATAATAAGGAGCAACGGTGTAAACGGAAGTGCGCCCCTCTCTGTCTCTACGGAACCAGGACTGCCATAGCCATAGTCAATAATCAAAGCCAAAGCCGCCCAGCGTAGACTTCTGTAGAATTACGATAAAACTGAGACACACCCACACACACATACACTCTCTCACACCTGATAAGCAGCCAACATAATACAACAAACGACGACGGCGCTAAGCAATTGTGACGCTGGTGCAGCCACAGGGCGCAACAATGACATTCGATACGCGCCGGCAAGGCACAGGAACTGGCCAAGCCACGACCAACAACAGCAGCAGCACCACCACCACCACCACCACTACCACTACCACGAACACCACAACCACCACCACCAACACCGCTGGCATAACGAGCACAGCTCAAGACGCTGGCACGGGCACAACAGCAGTCACAACATCGAGCATGTCCAGCAGCGGTGGCGATACCAACAATAGCAACACGAACAGCCAGGATGCGGCCCAAGTTACGGATGCCCTAACAGAAGCAGGTGGCAATGCTGTAGAGAGTGCCGCTACAGCAATGTGAGTATTTTACAATTTAACTACATATTTATTGTTAATAACCTTAATGTACTAACTGCGCAGTTAACGGGCTTGAAAGAAAACGAGAATTCGCTAAAACTTAACATATTTCAAATGTTCTCTTATACAAATACACTGTGAAAGCTCTCTTGAGGGATAGTTTTCCTTAGGCGCACGTCTCCTTAAGCCAGTAAAATTGGTTAGTTCCAATCTTTTTTCCCCTTATCGAACACTTACCCTGCTGAGCTTACGCTCTTCTGACCTGAATTTGGACAACTTTTTAACTTGAAACAATTTGTGGCGATTTTTAGTGGACTTCTCCCTAGCAGGACAGAAATACTGGAATCGCAGCTGAATATAGGTTCCACTATATATTGGTCGCCTTTGGGCAGCCCCTTTTTAAATAACATTCTTGCAATTATGTGGCATAAATTGATAGAATTATTAGTTAATTTT